AAAGTTGTGACGTCGAGAAAACGATCTTGGCGGGAGAGTCGTGGGGTCTCGCTCCTGTATAAAACATGATGTCGACTCGCAGAACTTGCTTTTGACGACACAAGAATATAATTGACCGATGAGGCCTTTCCACTGTTACCGGTTTTGCTCGTGTTGCTTCTAACTTTCGTACTTCCTTTTCCTTTAGCATCCGCATTTGTAAATCTAGTTGAACTACCATTTTCACTTGTACTACTATAACCAGAGCCTTGACTTCCTCCTTTAACATCAGTATTCTTCTTTGATTCTCCTCTTTTGTTTCTATTAAGCGGACATCCATACTCCAACTTGAGGGGTACTAAGAGATAATGGGCTTATTGGGCCATGTATAGTTACTAACTCAATATTAACTAGTTTATTTGTTTTGTCCTACATTGCTAGTTACTAACTTAAAGGTAACTAATGTACATATATATATATATATGTGCCTTTAGGCTGATAAATAAAGTAGTTGTATGTCAAATTACTTTGACATATTATCAATCTCATTTGCAGAGCACGTTTGAGTTATCGTCGCTATTTCCCGCCTTATTCACGCGGCTACCTCTCGGTAATGCTGTGATTTGAGCCTTGTCTGAGTCTCTCTTACTACTTATTTTGGTTTGTGTTTGTGTTGAGGATTTTTCTTCTTTGCATTGTTTGAGTTTTTGATGAAGATTTTGAACTGGTTTCTTCTCTTGCTTTTACGACTCGAGTAATTACTTGAAGCCATTTCAAGATATCTTTGATTTCTTTCTCCTGTTCTAACGGTTAGTTTCATGGTTCCGTTGATTTAAGTAGACAAATCTACACAAACCCTAACACCTAAAACCTAGGTAACAATTTTGTTTCTAGTTGATTCCAAAAAAAAAAAAAAATCTTTTTTTTAAGTATTTTGTTTTTGACTTGGTAATGATTTCGTTTGAAACTGATAACGACTTATTCCCGTATTTTATTTTATCAATTCAAAATTCTTAAAATGGAAAAAACATCAACAGAGTTCCATGAATCTTTCTCTGTCTTTCCCTCATTTTAAGTAACCATTTGTCCTATATTTAGCTTATAAGAAATAAGAACAGAGTATATATACCATTCCAAGAACACAAACTAAAAACGCACTTCCTTCGTATTTCATTTTTCTCTTTTAGGTTTTTTTTTTTTAAGATTTGCCTTGCCATATAAGCAATACAACCATGGCAAGGATCTCTCTGTTGTTCTCTTTAGCCTTCTCTCTCGCCCTTGGCTCATTGTTCCTTTCCGTTTCCGGTCATGCACCACCCGCGCCGATTAGAAAACAGTTATGTCCAAAAACCGTATCCGAGCTCCAGACCTTACCCTTTACCCAAATCATTGACATGCTCTCCAGGAAAGAAAGGTTGGCCCCGAAAACCCCTGAGTTCAAGGCAATGTTCACAATGTGCAAAGGCTATGTTACGTACCTCGAGAGCCTCTACAAGTTTGAGAATCCCATCGTAGATGTTTTGGGAATCGCCAAGGCCAAATACGCCCTAATGACCAAAGCGATTCTTGCGGCGCGAGCAAGTGTTAGCGGTAAAGTAGACAAGAAAACATCCGTGAAGCTAAGGAAAAGCTGTGCTGCTTTGACAAAAGGGTTTCTTAAGATTCAAGAAACGATCGTAACGATCTCAGCCAAGCATGATTTCAAGGCTGATGCTAAGATTAATGTCCAAGAATCGAAAAACATCGGTGACGCTATGAAATACTTCAAGAAGTCGATCAATGCTTTCATGGATGTAGTTAAAGAACTTGAGAAGAAGAAGATGAAGAAAGTTGGTCTTCATGCAAGAACACTTGAAGAAGATAGAGATGGTGAACGACGACAAGTGAAAAATGCTTTCGAGAGATGGATGAGGGAGTTTGCGGACAAATACGGTGGTTATCTAGGAGGAAGAAGAGAACTAAGTGAAGCTGATTTCAATGCCAACTCTCATGCTGGTGCTGATGCCAAAACCATTTACGAGAAATTTTCTCACTACTTTGGTGGTTATCTCGAAGGTGACCATTCTCACGGAAGACAATTAACCGAAGCTAAAACCGCCGGTGGAAAGGTCAACGGTACTGACCAAAGCACGTTGGACAAATTCTCTAGGTTCTTTGGTTCTTTTCTCAGTGGAAAAGCACACGGAAGAGAATTAGCCGAAGCTCCAACCGCCAGTGGAAAGGTCAACGGTACTGACCAAAGCACATTGGACAAATTCTCTAGGTTCTTTGGTCCTTTTCTCAGTGGAAAACCACACGGAAGAGAATTAGCCGAAGCTCAAACCGGAGTCAACGCCGGAGCTCAGGCTGACGGAAAAGTCAGCGGAAGGTTTGAGGAAATTACCAAGTACTTCGGTCCTTGGTTCGGAGGTAAGTCTCACGGCAGGGAATTAACCGAAGCCGGAGTCAACGCCGAAGCTCAGGCCGACGGAAAAGTCAACGGAAGGTTTGAGGAAATTACCAAGTACTTAGGTCCTTGGTTCGGAGGTAAGTCTCATGGCAGGGAATTAACCGAAGCCGGAGTCAACGCCGGAGCTCAGGCCGACGGCAAAGTCAGCGGAAGGTTTGAGGAAATTACCAAGTACTTTGGTCCTTGGTTCGGAGGTAAATCTCACGGTAGGGAATTAACCGAAGCCGGAGTCAACGCCGGTGGTAAAGTCAAAGGTTCATATGAAGAGTTCTTGAAATATATTGGTGTTGGAGTTGGAGGTAAATTTCAAATCGATGGCGCCGGAAAGATGAAAGTCGCCGGAGGAGATGGATTCAGGTCATTGAACCGGGCACATAAAAAACATCTTGTTTCCATGGAGGCATAATATTTCTTTACAACAGACGAAGGAAAGCCATGAGTTCATCTATAACTAGTTTGTTTTAATTACTTTTATTTGATGATGATGATTTTAAAAATACCAAGGAAGGGAACATGCACTGCGATATGTATCTTTATGTAACTAAACTAAAGTTGCAACATATCTAATAAAAAAAAATTCTTGTCACATATTGATCAGAGTGCATAACTCATTAGCATCAGTAACTTCATGCATTATCGAAATCCTTTCCTTCCAAAATGGTATCAACATTGGTGGCTTTCACCTTGAAAACCCCATTAGAAATCGCCAAAACAAATATATCAAATGTTCCACCACCAAGATCAAACAGAGCAATCAAAACCTTTTTTGTAGGTCATTGCATAGGAAAGACCAGCAGCTCGTTAGTTCGTTTATAATTCTCTAAACCAGCATCTTTTGTTGATTGCCTCTAAGTATCATTAAAGTAAGGTGGAACAGTGACAACAAATTCATTGACTAATTTTCTTAGGTAACTTTTGGTTGTCTCTTTCATTTTTGTCACTACTCCAGTCTCCAGTCTCCACCAGCTTGTGGCTTGGCTGGTGCACCATCTACATTTCTTTTTCTTTTTGATGGTCATCTATTAATCCGACCAACAAAAACCAAAGGGGTAGTCATTATCTCTACAACCTCTACAAATATTTAATTTTCTCTAGCCACTCTTAAATAGCCTTTTTCCCCACATTCTTCACCATAGTGGGCAAACACATATGGTTTAAAAGCACTCCTCAGTCTCTCTTTTTTTTTTTTGGAAAAAAAAAACTCATCTCAATCTGCTTTATATGGAAAAAGCAGAAAAAGAAAAGAATGGATTCATATAGATGAATCTTTACATCTTTTTTTGCTAAACACAATTACTTGCATTTATAACATATACACTTATAAGCATTAGTCTATAATGACTTACATTGATGGCATAAAACACTTATTCTCAGTTAGATTTCACCATTCCTGGAAGGGAAGTAAACCATGAAGTTGGTACTCTAGCAAAAATGGTAAGAAGTATCTTAAAAACCTGTGCATAATCAATTTCTTTTTGACACATGTATAATCAAATTCGTATATTTTAATATTACTTTCTACAAAAAAAAATTTCATTTCATGTACAACTAGTTAACTTTTCCGCGCCTTGCGCAGACTGATATAATTTCCATTTGATTGTTTGAAAATCTAATATTATTTTGGATTCATTTGTTTTTATTCTTGAGTATATTTGTTTGTTAGATTTTCTTGCATTTTAATGTTAGAAGACATGATCGTGTAAACAATATAGAATATAAGAGAGTAAATAAAAACATAGTAATATCCAAATAATTTAGTTTAAAAAGTTTTGAGATTTTTTTATCATTGTTCTATGTATTTTAGAAGTAATTTTTGAAGTACGGTATGAACTTATTCGATTTTGATCATTGTTTTATGTGTTTTAAACATCACAAATACTGTGATTCTATTAGTTAGATATATATATTTTATTTTTTAAAAATTTTTTTTTTAAAAGTTTAGTTTTTTTTTGTTTTGAAACAACATTCCATTACTTTTTAAATAGTTTCATTTTTTTATTCTTTTAACATTTTTGTTAGATTTTATCTAAATTTCGGAAACATAAGAAATGGTAAATACTAAGAGATATAGATTTTTTTTAAAAAATAAAAAATCGTCTTTGCTATTTTTTTAAAATTTCAGTTATATATAATTTTAAAAACGGTTTGATTGACTATAAAAATTTAATAATAATTTGGATTCATTTGTTTTTATTCTTGAGTATATTTGTTTGTTAGATTTTCTTGCACTTTAATGTTGGAAGACATGATCGTGAAAACAATATAGAACAGAAGAGAGTAAATAAAAACATAGTAGTATCCAAATAATTTATTTTAAATAGTTTGGAGATCTTTTGATCACTGTTCTATGTATTTTACACGTAATTTTTTGAAGTACCGTATAAACTTATTCGATTTTGATCATTGTTTTATGTGTTTTAAACATCACAAATACTGTCATTTCATTAGTTAGATATATATTTACTTTTTAAAAAAAAAATTTTGTTATAGTTTTTTTTTAGTTTTAGTTTTAGTTTTTTTTTTTGAAACGACATTTCATTACTTCTTTATATTTTTGTTAGATTTTATCTAAATTTTGAAAAGAATGGTAAACACTAAGAGATATAAATTCAATTTTTTTAATAAAAAACGTTTTTGTTAATTTTTTTAAAAATTTCGGTTATATTTAATTTTAAAAACGGTTTGATTGACTATGAAATTAAACATTAAACCATAATAATTTAGATCGGTTTGTTTTAAGTTTTTTTACATATCTTTAGATAAAAACCAATAAAAAAATGACATATAACTTCAAAATAGGGATAAACGGTATTTTTACAGCCGAAATTCATTTTGAAGCTACACGTAAGCGAAAGGTTGTGAAAACCGCTATGAGTGTGACACATAAGCAAATCAGTACACAAATAAATATATAGATTATTTTATGCTAAGAAAATTCATATTATTAATATTACCATCTAGTAAATAACGAAATTGATTTTCATACTCAACTATAAACAAATCAAATCACTTATATTGGTTTAATTAGTTCGGTTTAGTTCTTCTTTATTGCCAAAATGAAACACTAGATTGCATAGAACAAAATGCGAAACATTTCAAAACGCAGAAACAACATTTTTCGTAAATATCTTATATATAAAAGAGGATCAACTCTCTCCTGTTTTGCGCCACGTTAGCAATGGAGAGAGTCACACTTGTCCAACTAAAAAATTATTTATATAAATAGTATTTATTAATTAATTCTTAAATAGCATGTATGTAAATATTAAACAAGAATCTATTATATTAAAACAGAAGCACTTTTAGTGTTTGTTTCCAAACACTTCTAAATTTTTTTTAAAAAAAATATTTTTTATATTTATAAATTTAATTCCGAAAATTAGATATTAATTTAGATAACTAAAATTCCTTAAATATAGGTTATATCTATAGTCTATAGATATTAATTTAAATAGAATTTCTTAAATATGTGTTAGATTTAATTTAACATTTGAAATTTAAATAAGTTTTTCAGAATAACACATATAATTAAAAAATATCTTATTATATTTTTTAATCATATTCTATCAGATTAAAATTTCACATATTGAAAATAGATAAATATTAATATTATATAATAATTTGATGAGACAAGTTAAGTTTTTAATAATTATAGTCTTATGCGGGTTATGTTATCAAAGCATGCAAGATATTAAGAGAAAATGTATTTCAAAATTAGTAAATATTTATATTATAAAGTAATATAAACGGGCGGATTAGAATTATGGTTTCATAATCATGGTCTTTTTTGAATTAATAAAATGAACGAGTTAGAAATATATTTTTATAATAACGGTCACTTTTTGATTAATAAATAACCGGGTTAAAATTATGTTTTTATGATTATGGTGGTCATAATAATACTGAAAAAATATATCTAAACACAAATTTTTTTATATCACTTAGTAAAAAATTATATTTATAAAAAAACATAAATTAGATTACAAATTTTGATTAAAACAGAATTTCCGTGCAGATGCACGGGGTAAAATCTAGTTTATGTTATAATCAATTTAGAATATGGATGAATATTTATATTTTTTATATAACTCTAGATTACTTAATAATATACAATATGTATTCAAATGATTTTTAAAATTGTTTATAATAACATACTAACAAATGATGATTATTTTTATTTTTACTAAAATATATATTTGAAATATTTGAAAAACAAATCTGCGCGTTACGTGTGGATATTCACTTAATCTTATATAAAATATGGCAAATTCTCTCTCATATGAGTGTCACATCATCAATTTCTATCGATATGAGGATAACACATATCACATTTTTTTTAAAACAGTTAATTAATAAATTTTGATAATAAGTTTTAAACAATTCAAAGAAAATGAAAAGTTTTTTTTTTATTAATTGATTCTTAAATAAAATTTATGTAAATGTTAAACAAGATTTAGGTTATAATTAATTAAAAATATTGATGAATATTTTTTGTATAAACTTTTGATTTTTTTATATTACATTTTAAATTGATTGATTTCTAATAATATACTACTGATGATTATATTATTTTAAAAAATATAAAAATATAAAATATATAAATTTGAAATAGTTAAGAAAGAAACCCGTACATTACGTGCAGGTAATCACCTAGTAAATATAAAACATACATGTTTCTAAAACGTTTTAATCTAGCTGGTAGTGAAATGATAGAATGTTTAAATCAACACAAACTGTATACAAAAATATCAAATAATTTAGCTAAGGATTAAGATCATAACGTTGAAAATCAAAGCTAGATTCTACATCTTTTTATCATCATTTTTATCAATTCCATAAAAAAAACTGTCTCCAACTGTCGTTAGTCAAGTGAAAGATCTTCAAATCCAAGTACTGTATCCCAAAATTAACATATCTAATAAACCAAGTTGAACATTTACTTTAACGAACCAAAATGATCATTTGATCTCATGGTGGACACTACAAGAAAATAATGATATTGCAATTAAGAATTTTTGTTGCAATATACCAAGATATTGTTGCAAAAATAGAATTTGCAATAAAATTACTACATATTTTATAATGTTGCTGATTGCGTGTTGCAAATTCATATTTGTTGCACATACATCGCAAATTTTGCAATTAATTGATTTCTTGATATATTTGTTGTATTAATGCAACATATTTTCACGGCAAAATTGGTTGTATAATTGCAACATATATTTTGCATTTCCTACGACTCTTGTTGCAAATCTTTTTATATTTTAATATATTTTTTCAACACAGTTTTTGCTATTTATTTTCATTTTCTATAATTATTTAACACATGTGTTATTAGATTGTGATGATTTATTAATATTAAACTTTATAACTCTTTTTAACAATTAAAGCTGGAACAGTAAAAAAAACGTAAATACATAAACAAAAATATAGTTAAAACATGTAAATAATTATTCTCTTTTCACACTAGCTGATTATAGACAAAAACAAAATATTTCGGCCGAAACTTTTCAACCCTTAAAGTTTTGAATCCTTTCTTTGTTTTATGCATTCCTTTGAAAAATATTCTCTAATTATACTGTATTGAGAGTGATGTGAATCTCCAAATCACTGAAGTACTTCATCCGTTCTCTTTAGGAAGTAGAAAGTCGACCGTAAATACCTTCATTCATCTGAAATTATTTTAAAAGAAATCCAAAGTTAATATTGAACGAACCTCGTACTATAACAAAAGCAAAACAAACTCACAACTAAATCAAATGATATATATTAAATCTAATATATGAACACTAAAACCTAGAAACTAAAGGTAGATATTTTTTTTTCGTACCTTGATTTGCAGGATACTTGGAGTGCAAAGATTACACAATTATAGAAGTCAAAGTCATTCCTATATATAAACAATAAAACGAGAGAAAATCTATTTGTTATGAAAATGATATCCCAATATCTTATTTCAAGATCTGGAGTTATCCTAAAAGATGACTTCCAAAAAATTAGTTGGGTCAGTATTTCATTTTTTATTTTATTATATTAATTTTTAAATTAACTCAAAACAAAATAAATAAATTTCGGTTGTAATACCCATTTACTTAAATTTGGTAAAACAAATACCCATTTATTTAAACTGGATGAACCAAAATCTAAGGAACCAAATTTCGACCTTCTAATTTGTTTTAAAGCTTATAATTATGGGCACTATAATTATCATTTTGATGAGATAAAGGAACGTTTCATATTTATCTTATAATAAATTTTCTTTAAATTTTTTTTTCTTATATTTCATCTGTGCATCAAAGAAAATTTTAAATCTTTATAAATAATAAAGAATAACAAAAATAATTGAAAGGAAATAACTGAACTATACTAAAAATTATCAAATCTAAAGCAAACATAGTTTTGTAATATTTTGAAGGATAGAGAATTTCAATACCAAATCATCTGAAATAGAATTCATTTCTAGTTTAGATTCTTTTACAAAAATTGGAAACTCCAAAACTCAATTATAATTTAAATGCGTATATTTTTAGTAAGTCGAGTAAAGTTTAATTTTTTTATAGAAATTAAATGTTGCAAAAGAACTATCAAATTATTGCAAATATAGTGACAAAAGTGTCACAAGGTTTGTCACGTATTTATACCATTATTTTCTTGCAAAAAAAGTCATGATTCAGTATTATTGCATATTTCTTACAAATTAGTAATAAAAGTTTGCAACAAAAACTTTTGTCGTGGTTCTGCAAGAATTTTGTAGGAAAATTACAACATGTAATTATCATTGCAAAAATGTTGCAAAATTTGTTGCAAAAATTCAACTAAAGCTATCGTTGCAAAATTTATGTTGCAATATCAATCTTTTCTTGTAGTGGGAGGCAGTTTGTAATGAGGTAGGTCAATTGACCCATGTGAAATTCTAGAAAAACTATATATACTTATACTTTAGGGAAAAAAAATAGATGAAATGTTAAAAATTTAGCTTAATAATTTCTGTAAAATTTACTCATAATACATTGTAAATTAAAACTGATTCCAATAAAAAATTTGGCTAGTTCCACCACATACATTTCCTAACTATTTACTTATTACATTTTTAAAAACAAAAGGCAAGTTTTCATCGTGTTTTCGTTTCCAAACTTGGATCCCAAATTTTTGTAATGGAAATGGGAAACAAATTTCAGAAAGGGTTACATCTAACTTAAATAGTAGACTGAAAATGAGAAAGGCACGTTTTTGTTGCGTTTTCAAAATGGAAACAGTTTCATCCGAATTACTAAGAACTAGTAGATAGAAAATGAGAAAAACACTTTTTTGCCATTCTATCGCATTTCCAAACTAATATTTTTGAAAAAAAAAATATACTAGATCCCATGTTTCTGTTTCCAAAATGGGAAACTGACTTTAGAGGGAGGTTTTATCCAACCTACCAATTCCAAAATGGGAAACTGACTAGAGAGGGAGATTTATCAAACCTACCAAATAATTGATGGAAAATGAGAAAAGATAATTTTTGGTCAATAATAAAAAAAATATGAGAAAGATAGAAAAGGTAAAATATTAAATAAATAAGAAAAGGGGTAAAATTGTGAGTTTAGTGTGAAAACAAATCCGCCGTTGGAAAAAAAAAAAAACCCGCCCATAGAAAAATCTCTCTGACTTGAGGGAAAGACAATGGCCCCTGGTTTCTCTTCTTCTCATCTTCCTCAAATGCACTTTTATCGAATCCTTCCCTTTTAAAAACCAAAATCGAACAGTGTTTTTTTCAGTTTTCGACCAAACCCAGATCGAAAAATTGTGTTTTTAATCTCAGATTCGTGAAAGAATGGGAACTGGTACAGTTTTGAGTGGACGAGTGAGGAAAGATCTCTCGGAGATTTCGAACAAAACCAATTCAAATGGGAATATTCCGGTGACGAAATCAATCGCTTCCTCTCCGGAGAACCGTTCAAAATCACGTAAGAAGATCCAACGGCGGAGCAAGAAAGCTGTGATCTCTCCGGTGCAGAAGCTGTTCGAAACTTGCAATAAAGTGTTCGCTGATGGCAAATCTGGAATCGTCCCATCACAAGAAAACATTGAGATGCTTCGAGCCGTTCTAGGTAAATTCCATAACCCTTTTTTTTGTAAAAATTGATTATAATTCCTATTTAGGCTATAAAGTTTGAAACTTGGAGCATTAAAACTGGTGAATTTGTGTCTGGTTCTAGATGATGCTTGCATTGATTGTGTCATTTAGGTCATAAAGTTTGAAACTTGTGAATTGTGTATGTTTCTAGATAAAGCTTGCATTGATTGTTTCATTTGTTTCTCTTTGCTTAGACAAAATCAAGCCTGAAGATGTTGATGTGAGCCCTAATATGCCGTATTTCCGATCTAAATCCGTTGGAGACCGGTCTCCGATAGTGACGTATCTTCACATCTATAAATGTCATAAATTCTCGGTACTTTACTTCTCTATCATCCCTTGAAGAATCTTGAATTGGTGTTTTTTTTATATTCTTACATATTTCATTGTTTGTGTTTGTTTGTGATACAAGATGGGCATTTTCTGTTTGCCACCATCTGGTGTAATCCCTCTTCACAATCACCCGGAGATGACTGTGTTTAGTAAGCTCTTGTTTGGTACAATGCACATCAAATCTTATGATTGGGTCGCAGATTCTCCCCGTAAGTGTGTATACATCAAACAAGATTTATAAAGTTGTAAAGGAGGATTGGTGTTTGACATTGTTGTTGTTATTTTGGATTCAATGTAGAGCCTAGTTCAGATACTCGTCTGGCGAAAGTGAAAGTAGATTCAGAGTTTACTGCACCTTGTGACACTTCTATACTCTATCCAGCGGATGGAGGGAATATGCATTGCTTCACCGCGAAAACCGCTTGTGCCGTTCTTGATGTTCTTGGCCCTCCATACTCTGATCCTGCAGGGCGTCACTGTACTTACTATTTCGATTACCCGTTCTCAAGATTCTCAGGTACTAATTTTGGAAAACTTTGTGTTATGCTTCGAATCTTGGTACTTACTAGTTTGAGAAGCTTAGATTTTTGTTTTCCGGATTGTTTTTCAGTTGATGGAGTGGCGGTTGCGGAAGAGGAGAAGGAAAGATATGAGTGGTTGAAGGAGAGGGAAGAGGAGCCAGAGGATTTGACGGTTATGGCGATGATGTATAGTGGACCAACCATCAAAGAATGAATGAATGAACAAAGAAAATATGTAGCAAAGCAAAAACAAAAACAAAAACAAAAGGCGTTTTTTTTTCTTTCTGTGTTTTTTTTTCTGGATTTTATGTTGTTTTTTGCTGTATATATATTATAAAAGAAGTCCTTGAAAGTACAAACAACACAAGGACAAATCTAGAGTTTAAAAGAGTACACCTTTTGTCGGATTGTTGTATAGTCAAACATCATCATTTTGTTAGATGTTGCTGACTGTTGACTTGTCTTGTCTCTCCTCATGTTTCTGCTACAGTCATCAGCTCAGATCTTAGAGTGCGAGAGGTACAGGGATCGATACCCCGCATATCCAATTTTCCATTTTTAGCAGGAGTTATTCTAAACGGACCACTAGGTTTTGGCATGCTTCACAAAAGAACATATTAGTAAAATATATTGATAGTCAAGGGGTGTGTAGCTCAGATGGCAGAGCGCTCGTTTTGCATGCGAGAGGTTCGGCGATCGATGCCCAGTGTATTCACATTTATATTAAATTTTAAATTTTCTTACCAACTATAGTAATTCTATCAAAAAGGCTAGTAGGTTTTATATGCTTCACAAAAGAGTCCCATTAGTTTAAAAATCGATTAGACGCCCTTTTGCTCTTCAATCTATCATATGGTCCAAGTTAAAGTCATTTATCAGTTTTTAACTTTCTTGTTCATATCAACTGTTTACTTTTCTTTCTTGTTCATATCAACTGTTTACTTTTCAGACAATAAATTTTATAAATATTTCGCATCAGGAATTCTTGGTTTATTTCTTTATGGTGAAACTGAAAAATTTTGTCAACGTTTTTCAATTGTGAGTATACGTCCTCGTCCTCAACATTTTACAAACAGTTATCTTTCAGCAAAGAAACAAAATTTATAATTTTCCAAAAAAAAAACAAATAATATTAATTGCATATAAAACTACTACCATCTTCTTCAAGTCTTGTCTTCTAAGAGACTTTGAGTATTTGTTGAAAAGCCTCATGTGGTATATCAACAGAACCAACTCGTTTCATTCGTTTCTTGCCTTCTTTCTGCTTCTCAAGAAGCTTCTTCTTCCGAGTTATGTCTCCTCCATAACATTTCGCAAGAACATTCTTTCTCATCGCCGAAACTGTATCTCTCGCGATAATCTTTGAACCAATAGCAGCTTGTATCATCACTTCAAACATTTGCCTATCTATGAAGCTCTTAAGCTTCTCAACAAGTTCTTTACCCACACGGTACGCTTTCTGGTTATGAACAATCGTGGCTAACGCATCAACTGCTTGTCCGTTCAAGAGTATGTCAAGCTTCACCAGATCAGATTTCTGGTACTCTGCATCCTCGTAGTCAAAAGAAGCGTAACCTGATGTTATGCTTTTTAACTCATCGTAGAAATCCACAACTATTTCCCTCAAAGGTAACTGGTACTTCAAGAAAACCCTTTGTGCGTCAATGAATGTGTACTCAAGTTGCTGGCCTCTTCGGTCTGAGCAAAGGTTGATAACAGCTCCTACGTATTCACTTGGGAGGATGATTGTGGCGAGAACCGTTGGCTCCCAAGAAGCTGTGACTCTGTATTTGGGGTTTGAAGGCAAAGCAGCTGGATTCTGCACTTGTAACTTGCTTCCATCTGAGTATTCGAACGTGTAAGGAACTGTAGGGATTGTGGAGATAACTTGTGTACCGTATTCTTGTTCAAGCCGCTGATGAAATACGTCCATGTGAAGCAAACCTAAGAAACCACATCTGAATCCCATTCCAAGAGCTGAACTTGTTTCCTTAGCCACTGAGACACTTGCATCATTGCATGTCAGTTTCTCTATCGCATGACTAAGTGCTTCAAAATCAGATCCATCAGCGGGATAAACGCCTGAGAACACCATATGCCTCACAGGCTTAAAACCTACATTTCACAACCCAAAAGTCAAGCGACCTTGAAACAACATTTTTAAGCATAGTAGCATTTAGCTCTTCCCAAGCTCACCAAGATCTTAAGAGTAGCATAGTAGAAGACAAGTACCTGGAAGAGGCTCCACAGTGGTTTTGGTTCTATATATAGTGTCTCCAATACGTGCCTCTTTCGTGGTTCGCATACCGGTTACTATATAACCAACTTGTCCTGTGAGAAGCATTCCTGTAGAAGTAAGCTCAGGATGCATAATCCCAACATCTAACACTTCATAGGACTGACCCGATGCAGCGAACGAGACTTTATCCCCTTTACTCAGCATTCCATCAACAACAGAAACATAGCAAATGACACCTTTGTACTCATTGAAAAAGGAATCGAATAAAAGCATCCGTAGAGGCGATTCACTGATTCCAGGAGGAGGAGGAATCCGTTCTATAACCGCAGGGAGGACATGCTCGAGCCCTAAGCCGGTTTTAGCAGACACTAGAAGCACATCGTCTGTGTCGAGATCAAACATTGACTTCAACTGAGCTTTGACACGGTCTGGATCAGCTGTTGGCTGATCAATCTTGTTGATCACTGGTACGATGGTGAGGTTAGCTTCGAATGCTAAGTAAAAGTTAGCCACTGTTTGTGCTTGAACACCTTGAGCCGCATCAACGACCAAGAGTGCTCCTTGACAAGCAGATAATGATCTAGAGACCTCATAGCTAAAGTCAACATGGCCTGGTGTATCAATTAGATTCAGAAGAAAACTGCTCGCTTCTTGATCTTTCACATTGTTTTCGTAGAACATCGTTGCTGTCTGAGCTTTCACAGTTATTCCCCTCTCCCTCTCTACCTAAAAACAAACGTCCACAACTACTTAATCACCCATCACAAAGCAAAAATATGAACAATTTTAAACAGGTTCAAACTTAAAAGATTCAGACTTTATGAAACATTTCCTCTGAATCCACTGTAACAAACATCTAATTACCGAAAAATGCTCATATATTACTTAACTCCCTCTCTACCTAAAACAAACATCCGTAACTACTTAAGCACCCATCACTAAGCAAAAATATGAACAATTTTGAACAGATTAAAAAACTTAAAAGATTAAAACTTTATGAGACATTTCCTCTGAATCCACTGTAACAAACATCTAATTACCGAGAAAAGCTCGTAACTTACTTGAAATTCCAGCAATTTATCCACCACTATGAAAAATATGAACAGATTCAAATTTCAAAACTTTATGAAACTTGTTCATCTGAATCGACTATAAAAAAAAACATCTAATTTAAGGAGAAAAGCTCGAAAATACCTGTAATTTGTCGAGATACTGAGGCTGGCCATGGCCTTTCTTGATGGTACCAGTAAGTTCCATGAGACGATCGGCCAAAGTAGATTTGCCATGATCAATATGAGCAATGATGGAGAAATTTCGGATCTTTTCGGAAGGAAACTGGGTCAAATCAATGGCGGGTTCTCTGGAGCTTTGTCTAGAGTCGGAGCTGAAACCGTAAGCTTGGTACAATCCGATACATAACGGATCTCTTCGATTGGATTTGACTGAATTGAAGAAGGTTGAAAATGCTTGTCTCGACGATTTTAGGGTTTTAGAGGCTCTGTACATAGAACCCATTTGTGGGGTTTTGCGAAAGCTGTGAAAATTTGGAGCCTTTCAACGACACGAAGAAGGTGGAAAAGTCATGTCCGCACAATACGGCATCGTTTTAGGGATCTACAAGAACCAATGTTAATGTTGAAATGGTTTAACCGAACCGGATTGTCTTTGGAGATGATAAGTATGGGTGTTCAATCCGTAGTTTGGTTCGCTTTTGATTTTTGATTTCTGATTTTTTTCCCCGTTAAAGATCTTAATTCTGTTACGGATGGTTTTCATAAGTTTTAGTTGCCGTTCGGATTCGAATTAGTCTAAGTTTTAATTGGTTTGAATATGGTTCGGTTTTGGAATCGAATTATTTGGTTTAGATTTGATCGATTTATCAAGATTGAAAACCCCTAATGATAAGCTGTTGGATACAATACTAATGCTTGTAATGTTCGTTTAGTCATGAATTATTAATTGTTTATTTTAGCCACATATAGTTCCATCGCTTAAGCCTTAAAATTTTGTAGTGTTAGGTTTATGAATTTACTAAACTTTTTTTCCCAAATACACAAATTTTATTTATTTCTTAAAAATAAATAGATCGAAAGAGAAACATGGTTCTACTCAAACAAATAAAGAATAAAAAAACTAACAAAGAGGAGATGTCAAAAAAAAAAAAAAACTAACAAAGAAGAGTTTCTAGACGTCTAGAAACACTTATTTGTCGACAAATTAATGTCTTCTGGAAACCAAACAAGCTAGTTTAGGCTTTACCACACCATTAGAAAATCCTCTAACATTGATACATTCAGCAGGTGGATGATCATCATGACGAGATTTATGATGATATTCCATTTCTTCTTCTTCCTCTTCGTCCTGAATGTTAATATTGCTCATGAAAATACCTGTACATGGAACTGATTTGCTGCATAGGAGTTTCACAAAGGGTTTCCTAATTGATGTTCCATGTATGTGATTATACAATACATTCTTGATCTCCACAGCATTTGTCTGTATACAAGAATTAAACATCAATCATTCACATATATCTTAAGAAAAACACTTAAACACGAATTATGTGGATTAGTTTCAAGAAATGGTTAGCATACTTTTCATAAATGGGATTACTTCTATAGATATTATATATGGATGTTCATAAAGTATAAATGCAATAAATACGTACATAAGAAATCATTAAAACGAGAAGAAAAATTTACTTACATGGTTTTGGCATTCTGAGTGTGGACAATAAAATTGGTCGATAATGATAGGTCGGGTTACACCATATAGCTTTATATGTTCAAATAATACATTTCGAACATGCCCATTTCCTCCCTAAGCCATACATATAATTAATTAATTTTGCCATTAACTTAGTTTCAAGTTTCAAATTAGAGAGATTAAAAACAAACTAATCAATCTCTTCAATTTTACCTGCCATGTCTTGATTCTAACTCCATTATCTGTTTTTCTAAAAGTACAATTTCGAACGAGGACATTTTCCACCGTTCCTTTTTCCCCATTTCGACCTAAGCTTCCAATGCTTGTTTCAAACCAAAACAAAAAAAAAACAAATTAAGTAATTTAATTACAATCTTTAAACTAATTTTACAAGAAATAAAATTTTGAAAACGATGGAAGAAAAATACCTTATTCCATGGCCCGGACCACATGAGATTTCTGATATGCTAATATCCCGTGAACCGTCACCAATAGATATACAATCATCACCTGAAAATACCAAGTATCACATGCGATTAAGTGTTTTACTTAAGGTTACTTAAGGTGAACAACAAAATCACAACAATTATCAAAGTAGTTGAATTAGGTGTAAATTGAAACTGAACCGAAAATTGCTCATAAATGGATTGTTTTCATTAATTGGAGAACTGAAAAATCAATCCGAACCAAACTGAACCAAATCCAGCAGAAGACCAAATGAAACAGATTCGACACCAATGCCTAAGTTATTTGGTTTCACTTACTAGAAAAAAGAAACTAAACCAAAACAAACAAAAAACGAACCGAAGCTAAAACGTAAAACATATTGCCCCTAGTTAAATTATTGCGATAAGGATACATTAATCTACGCTAAGCTACATTTGTACTATTATTATAGATCATGTACACATTTATATTCATTAGGCATGTATAAATACTAGCATGGATAATATAATGATCATGATAATCAATCACCTGTACTGATATTACTATTGTAGACGATAACATTCTGAGAGCGTTGAATGTGCATGCCGTCAGTGTTAGGGCTATCACCATCGGCGATTATGGTGAGTTGTTTAGCGAAAACCAATGTCGAATCTTCCAACGATAATTGAAAATTTGGACTGTCCTTAACCATAATGTTGCTTATATGCACATTACTCGAATGTGATATAATCACACCCTAATTAATGGTAAACAAACAAATCAAATAATTTGCAGTAACGACTTATGAAACCTAAAACCTGAATTATTGTGAAATGATTTTTCCACATACCCGTGGTCTTCCAAGACATGCCTATAAAGAAAAACATAAGTTATATAAGTTTATATGATGACATAAAGTAAAGTAAATTTTCAATAGAAAAAACGGGCTTACTTGTTTATGTTTTTTGCAATCTATCGACCACCATTTTGGTCCTTTGCCATCAAGAGTACCTTGGCCATGGCCATCGATATAAAGTCCATTTATATGCGCAAATTCGATCCACTGATGACAACGATCTCCATTGCATTTCCATTGATCTGGACCTTCAGGAGCAGTTAAATTTCCACGGATCTACGATATCATGAAATACATATACTGATTTTGTAAATTGTTTATGTAAACAATGTTTTATTGCTGTTAAACATGTATACATATATATTAACAGAGACGTTCCAAGGGATTGTAACGCCATAGACGAAAAAACAAATGTATTTTTATTATCTTTTTTTTATAAATTTTTTTGACGATGTAGAGTTAACAGAATAAATTATTGACAAAAATGTACAATTTTCTTTAATCATAATCATAGTGTGATATGTACGTTCATACGTATATGAGTATTGCATACCGAGAAAACGATGTTCTTGGATTTACAAGGGCCACGAAATTCAATTGGCTGAAGAAGAAATGTTCTTCCTTGAGGAATATGCATGGTTGAATTGGATCCAATGTAATTGCATGTGTCTTCCCATGCATTCTTGAATGCCTGAAACCATTATTTAAAAACAAATATCTCAATCAATCTAGTTTGTGAATTTTAATAGCTATGAAACCCAAAAAAAAACAAACCTTTGTATCGTCGGAATTTCCATCACCGATTGCTCCATAATCAAAAACATTAAAAATTTTATTACTGTGATGAAAAGAAGATTGAGACTGAGCTAACTGAAAATTGAGGAAGAGAGCTAGAGAAAGTAGAAATGTTAAGAGCACTAAGAAGTTCGTCATTTTCCTCCCACTTAATTAGCTGAACAAAAGTGAACATAGATAAAAATGTTTGTTATCTCAATATGGTTATATATGTAAAAAAAATCTAAAATCTATGATTTTCTATTTATTGAAAGATTTTATCTCATTTTGATACTCTAAAATATTATTCTTTTAGATCTTTATTTCAGATAAGATCTCAAAAAAACAGAAAACAAAAATCAGTTGTTTGTTTGGAGTATATCTCATCCAAATGATTGATGATGATAGATTCAAATCTTAATTTTCTTTTTGGTTTTTGCTAATTAGTTGCAAATCCTTTTTGCTAGAATACAAGAAAATTCAGAACCATGTCTTCGTCAAAATGTTCCATTAATATAACACGATAGAGTAGAAGAATAAACTTAAGCATCTTTAAAGATGTTGATGATAGAGATGGCTTTACTTTTAGGGTAAACAACGTTCTCCACTTCAGTTTCTTCCTCCTCAAGTTACATGCCATGTCAAAGTCCCCGTGACCAGTATCTTGCTAGGCAATTCCGCAGCTGATGGAGAGAGATATGTAATTCTCTCTTCATCAATATCAACATTTGTGATACACACAAATCCAGCAACAATGCTGCAAAAACAATACACATTTGCTGCAAAGTTTAACGATTTCTACATCTCCAGCTGAAATTCAATCATTAGATAGTTGGTGATAATTACCTTGAGATGATCTGGTCAGGCTCTTTGGCGTATGAGATAGCAAGAACTTTATTGATAAGTTGTTCGTCAATTTTCACAGGTGTGATCTCCAAAGTGCTATCATGATTTCCTCTTGACCTCTTTGGAAACTGATATACTTGCACATCTCTGAACTTTGCGGTTTTGGTGTAGACCGTGAGCTCGTGAGTGGCTCCATGGTAGTACTTCTGTGGAATAAGCAAATTCAAAAGCCGGAATCTAATTAGTGAAATCTTGAAAGAGATCACAAATATACCTTGATGTTGTTGTTCCTCAAGGTCTTGCGAAAATCAGAGCCCCTAGAGAAAACTCCAGCTGACTTCTCAAGATTCAAGATTTGTAAATTCTTCTTGAATCTTAAAGCTTTGCTAAGATCATTGACGAGTTCTGTTTCCTGCAAATAAATGACGAAGAAAAATGAAGAAAAATGTAGGTTTCTTGATTTAGGAAAAAGCCAGAGAAGAGAGCTTTGGTACATTACTTGACCAAGGACAATAACTACAGATGCATTAAACCTCCTTATTGCATGGACAAGCAGCTGCAAATTGAAAACAGGATAACAAATCAGAAAGACTGTGGTATATTGCAAAACGTAAACGGTTCTCTTTTCACAAAAGAAGCTAAAACTTACATGGTAACCGACACCAGTGGTCCATCCCATTGTATCAATCACCATACCAGAATATCGAGATTCAATGTTATCAGAAAACTCCACCTCTAATTCTCGAGCAAGCTCTTCAACAAGAGCCTTGTACAGCCTAAGGTTGATACTGCAAGAACAAGAAAGGAAAAAGTAGTCTCAAGTTGTTAGTTCACTAAGAACTAAAGATTGATAGTTCGAAGTAAAATACTCCGGTGTTGTGTGACCAAAGTAATGCACAAGAGCCTTATTAATAGGAAACCCTTCAACAGGGTCCAAAGGCATTTCAATAGAAGTAGCAGCAATAGTTCCTGGTATGGTTATCGAGCTTTGACCGACGTTAAGGTCAACAAATGTTGGCTTGAAACCATCTTTAGCTGCCCAACTAAGAATCATCTTAGCTAAAGTGGTCTTCCCAGAGTCTATATCCCCTACAATGATAACTCTTGGTCCCTACATCAAGCAAAACCGTACCAAACAAAAAAGAACACAACTTCAAGATGGCACATGGATATAATCAATCTTTTTATGAAGGAAAATTCTTAAGTACATGTGAAGATACATTATCACTTGTGGAAGATGTCACACGATGTCTTTGTCTTTGTAGAGAGTTGTGGAAAATTCAGATAGCTCATCATAGGTGTCTAGAACAGAGATGTTATTAGCAAACAATACAAGCAATTATATCATACCAACTATTTGTGTGGATGAAACCATAACATTACCTCAGAAGATGTATATTCAGTTTCTGTGACGCCATCTACTTCGATTGTTCCACCATACCATGTGAAGACCTGAGGAAATGAGCACTTCAATATGTGATCTACGGATCTTCAACTATAAACCATCAAGATTACAACTTGCTTACTATGTAACCAACTCAATGATCATTTTAACTACGAAAAGGAAAGAAGATGAATTTGACAGAAACTACATAAAGCTCAAATCTTTCAGCTAGCCCACAAGGCCAGAGGATGAATTTGACAAAAACTCTAGAACCCATTTCGAGAAACATAACCATAAGTCCATAACCACATAGAAAATGAAAATGATACATAAACTCAAGAATCCATTACGAGAAACACAACCATAACCATAACCAAATATAAATGGGTTTTACAAAAAGAGTTGAATATGTAAAAACATACGGCGAATTGCTGGAGAGGTGGAAACGTGATCCACACTTTTGGTGGGAGCTCGGAACCGAAAATCTCAACTTTGCCCTCTAGCACACGGAGTTTGAGAGTCGAAGACTGATGGACTTGGATCCTGATCTCGCCTTGTGGCGCTAACTTCACTATTCGATGACCAGACTCACTAGCATTAGCTGCATCATTGTTCATCATTGGCTTAACCATGGACGGACCACGGTACGATGACATTTTTGTCTCTAAAGGTGTTACACACACTTGTTGAAGAAAGACAACAAGGAAGACGAAAAATCTTGAGTTTGAGATGTTTTAACTAAATGTATCAGTGGATTTGGATTTAAATAGGCTCAGTTTTCTTGAGAGGAAGACGAAAAGTTAGTAATTTTATTCCAGTTTTCGATGTTAGTAAGTGTTCAAATGTTGTGTTCAATTAAATGGAAGACCAAGGGTTAAATATTTCCATTAAATATCCAAAACTATTTTTTTCTTCTGTAAAATCGACGTCGTCTCGGCTTAAGATGAAACGATGCCGTTCAGAAATCTTTATCGTCATCATCACCGTTGCTTCTTTTAATCTCTGAAGGGTTTTTTTTTCTTTTTTGTCAAATCTCTGAAGGGTTTAACGAAAAAATGGCCAATATGCCATAAAATAAAGAGAAAAAATTTGCAGTATCATTATAGAGTCTCAGTGCCATAATAGAGTCTCAGTGCCATAATAGAGTCTCAGTGCCATAATAGGAGTGAAAACCCTATTATGCCCTTAATGAAAAGCAATTGTGGCATTGCTGAATTTTCGTTTTTGGTTTAATTAAAAAAAAAGAAAACAAAACAAAAAATAATTGATTTTATTGTTTAAAAAAATATATTCTGTGTTCTCTCTCTCCTCGTCTTTCTTCCTCTCTCTTCCTCTCTCTCTCTCTCTTCGAATTGGACATTTCTGAGAAATTGGATTTGCCCGATCCGAGCTGAATCTTGCGCTGGACTCGTGACCCAGCTCGCCGGGACGTATTAGCCACCGTGTCGTCCTCCTGTACACCACGACTTCGTTTTTTAAACTCGAGTGAGCTCCTTGCGAAGCATCAGGTATGGTTTTGGGGTTTTCTAATTTTGGGGGTCGATTTGTGAAATTTGTTAGTTTTAGCATGCACATTGGATATTTAAGACAACTATATGGGTCGATTAGTGGATGGTTGTTGGTGAATCGAGCTGAATCGTAGTCTTCTAGGTTGTGAATGATGAATCCGTCAGATTTGCGAGAATTGTGACAAGTGGTATAACTAAGAGTGTCGAGATAATTGGTATAACTGGTACAACTTAGATAGATTGGACAACTGGTACAAATGGGACAACCCATGATTATGGGACAACTAGTACTAATGGTATAACCTATGAATATGGGACAACTGGTACAATTGGTAGAACTTTAGAAAGTGAGACAACTGGTACAACTGGTACAAGTACAAATTGAGAGAAAGCTGACAATTGGCAATATTTTTTTTTTGTTTTTTTTGTATTTGCAGGAGAGAATGAGTAGGCCCACAAACATATATTTTGAGTATGGAGGATATTATTCACCGAAAGGAGAAGAGTTTAAATGGAATTCTAAAAATTCCATATATGCTATATCATTTAGAAACTTATCTATGGAGGAGTTAACCTATTCGGTGCTTGTAGATGGTATATGCAAGAAGATTGGGTTGAATGACAGTATGAGGAATCTGAAATTGAGCTATATTCCGTTGGTAGCTAAGCCTTTTAGAGAGTCATGTATTGTTGATGATGGTGATGTTTATGTGTATCTTACGACAGTGGATAAAGAGGGACTTAGAGCCATTTTGAATGTGGAGCTAATAGAGAGTGAAGAGCTTCCCAGAGCAGAAGATATAGAGAGTGAAGAGCTTCCCAGAGCAGAAGACGCCCCTGATATTGAGGGACAACAGGGACAACAAAGAGACCAGTTGATTGTTTACAACCCGGAAGAAGCAGATGGACAACAGGGACAACCGGAGAGGATGGAGAATGTTGATTTACGTGTAAGCTGTGAAATTGAGGAAACAAGGACAAACTGAGAGGATGGAGAATGTTGATCTACGGGTAAGCTGTGAAATTGCATTACCAGAGGAGAATGCAGAGTGTGGCATGCATGAAGATGTAGATGAACATGATCATGTTGAGCCTCTACGGCCTGTGGAACAAACTCGGTTTGTTCTAGAATGGGAGGATTGAGCTGGGTTTGAAAAAGGTCAAGAATTTCGATCCAAAGAGGCTTTGCGAGTTTTGGTCGACAGAGATTCTCATAAGGGCTGTTTTGAGGTAAAACGGTAAAGTCAGATACAGGGCGACTCATACTAAGATGCCAGCAAGCTGAACTTGGTTGTACATGGTATCTACACGCCGTACGAATTGTGGATTCAACTTATTTCAGTATTAGGGTGTATAGGAATATCCATACCTTATCTCGGGTTGTTGCGAGCACAATTCGGAATAAAAGGAAAGGCACACCACAAGTAGTAGCAGATGTTTTGCGTGGGTGCTATCCAGGAGAAGTAGACACCCCTGCGCCCAAAGCTTTGATTAAAGTTGTTCAAAATGAAGCTCACGTGAATGTGTCATACTCTACAGCCTTGAGAGGGAAAAACTAGCTATTAGTGAAGTGAGGGGCAGTCCAGAAGAAAGCTATCGAAAGTTGTATTGTTATCTTTACATGTTACAGCTTGTTAATCCTGGGACAATAACTAGTGTGAAACTGGATGCCAAATATAAGTTTAAGTATCTCTTTGTCGCTTTGGGCGCTAGTATTGAAGGCTTTAGAGCAATGAGGAAAGTCATAGTTGTGGATGCGACCTTTCTTAAGAGTGTGTACGGTGGTATGCTAGTATTTGCCACAGCGCAGGATCCGAATCATCACCATTATCCAATTACAATGGGTGTTATTGATAGTGAGAAAGATGCTAGTTGGAAGTGGTTTTTTGAAATACTCAAAACTGTTATACCTGATGATAAAGAACTGGTTTTTATGAGTGACAGACATAAGAGCATCATTGGAGCAGTGAAGGAGGTGTACCCTCAGTCTCAGCATGGATATTGCATTTGGCATTTGTCGCAAAACGTGAGAGGGAAAGCTGGGATTGGCTGCAAAGATTTGTGTGCAGTAAAATTCAGAGAATGCGCTCACAAATACACTGAAAGTGAGTTCCTATGTGCGTACACTGATTTTAGGATATGGTTTCCAAAAACTGCTGAGTATTTAGATGAGCATGTTGCGGTTGATAAATGGGCAAGGTGCTTTTTTAAAGGAGACAAGTACAACTTGGACACAAGCAATGCGTGTGAGTCTATGAATGATGTCTTCAAGAAGGCAAGGAAGTATGCCTTATTACCGTTGATTGATGCATATGTTGAAAAAATCTCTGAATGGTTCAACAAGCATAGGAAAGACACTGCATATGCATCAGATTCGAAGACATTGGTGCCCTATGTTGAGAACCAGTTGCATAGTCTATGTGCAATTGGTACAAGATTATTTGTCACTGAGCTTAACGCTACTCATCAAGAATACAGTGTGATTGGAGATGATGGGAAGAGTTATCTGGTCGATTTGTTAAGTAAATGTTGTAGCTGTAGGCGTTTTGATATAGACAAGATTCCCTGTGTTCATGCAATAGCCGCTGACATTGCAATGATGCGTTCGGCTGAGAGAAGAAGGGAAATCCACTTACATGAGTTGTATGCTCAAAATATTACCACATTGATACTTGGGCCCTAGCTTATTACAGGACTATTTATATGGTGCCACATCAGTCTACATGGATTATCCCTGATGAAATCCAGAAGTTAGTCGTTTTACCACCGGACTACACTAAGAAACGTGGAAGAAAGCGAGATAACAGCTATCCCTCTACCAGAGAAGCTCGCCGTAAAGGATGTAACAAGTCACAACTGGGAATACATCTCGGACGTTGGTTTGACCCATTAAACCCTCGCGAAAATCAAAGTGGGAACCAAAGTGGAAATGAAAGTGGAAACCCAATTTAGTTTGTTTGTGGTCTTTGTATTTTGATGTAGTTTAACTCTCAGGTGCAACCGGACAAGTTGGTACAACTAAGTTATGTTTAGAGTTTTTATGGATTTTGAATTTTTGGGACAACTGGACAAGTCGGTACAACTACGTTATGTTTCTTATATGTACTGGATTTTGAATTTCTGGGACAACCGGACAAGTTGGTACAACTACGTTATGTTTAGAGTTTTTATGGATTTTGAATTTTTGGGACAACTGGACAAGTTGGTACAACTACGTTATGTTTCTTATATGTACTAGAATTTGAATTTATGGTAAAGTTGGTACAACTACGTTAGGTTTCTTGTTAACCTAACAAATTAAACCAAATGATACATGTAACTCTTTGATATTATCGGTTTGTTGAAACAATGTTTGGGTTTCACATCAACAACCTCATGTGATACATGTAACTCTTTGATAATGGAGCATCTTACAAAGGTCAAAACGAAATTTATATGATTTTGATCAAATTTCCTTGCAATGTAATAGTAAATAGTAACCATGAGTCTATCGTCCCCTGGACAAATATTAAATATAGATTTATGTTACCGGACAAGTAGAATAATCAAAAAGGACAACTATGAGCAATTTTGGACAACAGGACGTATCGGTACAACTATGTGTTATTTTTGGTATTGAGCGCGTTAAGCACGTGTTAAATTAATATTTGCGGCGCCGCCAAATATTAGAGTGAAACTCAGCGTTTTGATAAGTAGGCTACTTTATAAGGAAATTCTTAGAGAAGAAAAAACAGAATTTCCCCCAAATCGAAATCTAGGGTTCCTCCGCCGCCGCTGGACAACAAGATGCCAAGCTACAGTTCGGGTTCTTCTTCTTCCAGGCACTCGTGGGACAGTTCATATTACCGAGCTGATGGAGAAAATGGTATGAGAGAATCGTGTTGGTGTGGTCTCCTGATGGTTGTCAGGGATTCGAAGTCAGAAGCCACCCGAGGAAGAAAAATGTACACTTGGCCAGATTGGACATTTGAGGTAAAAACTTTTGGATTTTAGGTTATTTCTACAATTTTAGATTTAGATGAATTTTATTTTAGGGTTTAGAATATGGCGAATTTACTGATTTTCGCTTCACTATTGTAAGAGGCCTTGCCCGAATCATAACTACATATGGAAATGGTGGGAGGACGCGGTTACAGAAGAGCTATCAACTCTGAAAATTCGAGTTGATAATGCCACATCTGGGATGAAAAGTTTGCATAACATGGGAGTTGTCCGAAACTGCCTTCCTGAGACTAGCTCGTTTGACACACATCAATCCGAAATTAGGCAACTCAGAGAGCTCCTATCTGGGATGGAAAGAGAGATTGGAAGGATGAAGGAATTGATTGCCAACTGAGGTGATGGATATGTGATAATCGCTTTTTTCATGCTGTTTGCTGTGTTTTCATATCTTTTCAAGTAGAATTTTGTATTGTTCATCTGTTTTGATTTGGATTCCCCCTACTATGTCTATCTATGCTTATTGTTGTCCCAGTTATATAACAATGTCGTTATTGTTCCAGTTGTCCAAACATTAATAATTTCAATGTTATCATTATGTTTAATAATTGTCCCTGTTGTCCAATGTTATCATTATGTTTAATAATTGTCTCTGTTGTCCTAGTTGTCCACAGACCAAATTAAATTACAACTATTAGTTGTCCTATTTGTCCGAGTTGTCCACATACCAAAGTTAAATTACATACTAAATAGTTGTCCAACACAAACCCATAAATATCTAACAAACATGCAATATCCAGCAAACAAGCAATATCCAGCAAAACAAGTCATATCCAAAAGCATAAGTTATCAAATAAACATAAGTTCATAAGAGCATAAGTTATCCTAAAACCATAAGTTATCAAATAAGTTATCACTTCTTCTTCTTCTTAGCAGGTCTCTCTTCAGTAAAAGGGGATGACACATGTCTGGATGGTGCTTGGGTTCTCTTAGGGCGTGGTGGGACCTTGCTTGGTTGAGGTTTCTTCTTATATCCTTTCTTCGTCCTCTTAAATGGTCCTTTGCCCGGTTCGTATGTCAGAGCTCTCATTGCCTCTCTCTCTTCTTCCACTGTCGATGAACCTGCTGCGTATAAGGAGGGACCTGGTGCAAGAGGTGTGGTGGCAACAGCTGGAGGATCGGGTACAAGTGGAGAGTGCTCTGAGGCTGGTGGCGCTGGTGATCGTGTTGGACTCGGCGAGTGGACTGGTGAGCATGGCCGTGATGTATCGGAGACTCGTCCTGATGGATGTACCATCCCCTCAAGAGTTTTCAATCTTCTATCTATTCCTTTTACCTTCTCTACAATCTCCTCTTGCTTCTTCTCCATTGACGCCTTCAGCTCCACCAATGACGCCTTCAGCTCCACCAATGACACATTCAGCTGAGCCACTGATATGGGCTCATCTTCCCTTGGTTCCATAGCAGGGACTTGAACCCGAGAAGCAATATCAGCCTCATACAGCTCTCTCCAAACAATTTTTTTCTTCTTCTTGGTTAAGTAATCCGTCCAGCCCTCAACGGTTATGTCAATATATCTGATACCATCATCGAATCCAGGATCTGCGATCTCAGCCAAAAGCTCTTCTTCATCCGAGTCAGCCTCCAAAATGCTATTAATGTCCTGATAATATCAACAAATACCATTTATTACATTTCATCACCAACCATGTTTAATATCAAGCTAATAGCAATAATAAAAAAATCACTGACCTCAGCACTAGTGCCAATAGCTTGGTTGATGTCATCCAAAGGAATACCTCTCATGGCTACATCAGTGAACCTATGCTTGCAAATCCTTGGACAGTTAGGCTCAGCATGGACAGCTACACGAAACCTCTTTCCCAGACTTGGAATGCACTCAAACGCAAGAATCTACAAAGTCAAAACATAAATCAATCTGAATATTTGTCCCAGTTGTCCACATACCAAATTAAATTACAACTAAATAGTTGTCCCATTTGTCTGAGTTGTCCACTTCCTGAAATTAAATTACAAACTAAATAGTTGTCCCATTTGTCCGAGTTGTCCACATACCAAATTAAATTACAAACTAAATAGTTGTCCCATTTGTCCGAGTTGTCCACATACCAAATTAAATTACAAACTAAATAGTTGTCCTATTTGTCCATGTTGTCCATCGATCTAACATATATTAATCTAAAAAGTTGTCCTAGTCGTCCACATACCAAACAGATAATCTATTAACAAAGACATACTTGTAGAGGAAGAATGAAACCACCGATTGTGCATTCAGCTCCTTTAGGCTTTACGCTGCCATTGAACTTGGTAACCACACGCTGGATCTCCCTTATAGTCTCGTCAAACGTGTAACGCCCCCAAGGAAACGTTTTGCACAACTTCATATCTCCGGCTGCTGCGAGCAAGAATGGGTCAATGTTTCCGTCAAGCTTTGACTTCGCCTTCAATACTTTGCATAGAAACAAAAGTAGTGCCATCCTCTTCCTGTCTAAAGAGGGTTCTTTCATTTCTGCTAGCTTTGCTTCCACTTCTCCGATCTTGATTTTGTCACCCCTGCCAAAATGCTTTTTTACAAAGTTCAGCTTACCCAACTTCTTATAATTCGCAGGGTAGTCATGGCAGTCAAAACCACATAGCAGTGCATGCTCCCTCAAAGAGTATCGAATAGGCGCTCCATTTACCACAAACCACGTCTTATTTTGCTTCTCAGTATAAGCTGTGTGAAGAAGAAGCATCCACAACCCTTGATTCATATGATTTGGCTCCTTATACATATGAAACAGGTGCTTGAATTGCGGATGCAATTTGAACCACTCCATCTCTTCAGGTAGCTCCCCGATCACATCAAGTACACTCTTAACTGCACATCTTGTAATTATCTTACACGCCTTGCTATATTCGCTTGGACCGAAATAAAGCTTCTCAGGCCCCATTGGCATCATTTCATCATCGGCATCCTGAATTTCAGAAGAGTAATATAAATTAGTTAAACTTGTTGTCCCAATTGTCCATAGTAACATATATATATTAGTCCGACAAGTTGTCCCAGTTTCCAATAAATACTATAAACGAGTAATTGTCCCAGTTGTCCACATACGTTCTATAATTCTAAGTTGTCCCAGTTGTCCTATACACTATGACTATATGTTGTCCCAGTTGTCCTAATACCAAAAAAATCTTAAGCCACAAAATTGTCCTATTTGTCCGCAGCCCAAACATACATGTTACTACATAGTTGTCCTAGTTGTCTACATACCAAACAGACAATAATCTACAAGATTACCAAGGATGGGAGTCTAAAACGTACCTCTTGCATTCCTCCTTCCTCCTCTAGCATTTCTCCTTCCTCTTCGTTGACATTGGCTGGCGCTTCATCCTTCTCTTCTTGGTTCTCTTCCGCTTCCTCTTCCTCTTGCGCAGGCGCAATACCATCTTCCTCTTCACCTCCTATCGCCTCTTCCTCTTGGTTGGGTTCCTCTTCGTTCTCTTCCTCTTTCTCTTCCTCATTGTTCTCTTCCTTTTCCTCTTGGTTCTCTTCCACTTCCTCTTCGTTTTCCTTCTCATTTTCCTTCTCCTCTGCTTCATCTTCTCCTGCTAATTCCCCGTCACCATCGTTTGCCGTTGGTGTGGCCATGCTCACTTCGGCGTTCTCAATTTCAGGATGGTTCTCGATTTGTGGGTCTACGATTTCCTCCGCAGCCCTTCCTTCCCGCCGGGGTTCCTCAATTTCCGTCGGAGTCGGGTTCCCTTCCGCCGGATTGTTAGGGTTCCCGTTTTCTGGGTCTTCAATTTCAGCCGGATTTCCTTCCGGCCGACTTTCAGGTATCTCTTTTTCGTTTTCCGGCGGGTTTTGGACTTCCGCCGCTGAAGAAGAAGACTCATACACTTGACCTTTGTTTCTCACATTCGCCATAAATCGGAGATTCGGGATTCACCCTTTTCGCGATTTTCGCCAGAAGAAAATGATTCTACAAGTTTATAAAGCCCTAGTGCTTTAACGGTTTTGCTGTGTTTACGCGAATCGGTTTCTCGAAGAAGTTTGAATGAAGAAGTGAGAAGTCGAAGAGAGAACGGTTCGGGTTTGGGGTTTTGCTCGTTTCGAATAAATGAAAAAAAAAGGAAGAGAAAACATAGAAAATGAAAAAAAAACGGTTTTCATAAATATTTAATTCAAATAATTAAAATAATTTTGAATGGGTCGAGTTAACGGATTAACCGAAACTAGATGGGTTTGACCTAGTTTTACTGTAAATAAATCGAAATTTCAAGGAGAAAGTAGATTTTTTCAGGGTTTGGATTTAAATAAAAATCAAAATTAAATTAATTATTACAATTATGGTATTTTGGCCTTTTTTTTATTTTATATTATGGCATTTTAGCCATTCGTTCGGGTTTAACGGGTAGTTTTCTGGGTTGGGGTTTTTATTTCGATGATAGAATCAAACTTTTATTTTGGTTTGTTTATAGGTTTACGCAAAGCTCGAATCGATAAATTAGGGGTTAAGTGAGAAAAGAAGTTAGGAAATTTTGAGTGGGTAATGAACTTGAACTTAGCAAATCCTCTCTGGGTTCCTGTAAAAGCTTTGTTATGTAGAACCAGCAGGAGAAGGAGAATTTTCACTGCCACTGCTATAAACAGTTTAACGGAAAAGGTAAATCTCTCGTATTAGTAGTTATAGCAATTCCGGTTTCTTCTTGGTTTATTTTGTCTGAACATTGATTGGTTCTTGATGAAATTTTGAAAAGGTGAACAACGATGAGAATGAGCTTTTGGTTGTTGTTGGTGGTGGAGCAGCTGGAGTTTATGGAGCGATTAGGGCTAAAACTCTCTCACCTGATTTGAGAGTTTTGGTTATCGAAAAAGGGAGATTTCTTTCTAAGGTTAGCCTCTATTCCTATCAACTAAACTCAGAGATTTTTTTGTTCATTTGCTTAGTTGTTTTGCATTTTGCAGGTGAAGATTTCTGGTGGTGGTAGATGCAATGTGACAAATGGGCATTGCACCGATACGATTGTGAGTCTTGTTCACACAGAAAGCTTCGAACTTTATGCCTGAAAGTTGCAGAATCATGAAGCATATTGGGTTTAGCTTCATTTTTGTTTTTGTTGATTTTATATCAGATTTGTATAGCATGTTGAGATTGGCAGAGCATTACAGAGATACTTTTGTGAGTGTTGTTCACACATAAAGCTTCAAACTTAATGCAATCATGAAGCTTTCTTGCATATTTCTCTTTTCATCTTGTGGGACATATTTGTGCTCTGGTTAAATTAGTATCAAAGTTGCATGTAAAGATTGGCAGAGCAGTGTTGTATACACAGAAAGCTTCAAACTTTATGCCTGAAAATTGCAAAATGCATAGCTGTTTCTTTTGATTTTAGCTTTTGTTAACTCAATAACTCAATTTGTATGTAGAGGTTAGCAGAGAATTATCCTCGTGGTAATAAAGAGCTTAAAGGTTCTTTTTTCTTCACACATGGTCCTGCTGATACCATGTCATGGTTTTCTGAGCATGGGGTGCCACTAAAGGTTGTGACTTTCCCATCAATTAATCTTCAGATGTATTTGTCTTATTCCGTATTTTTGCCTAACTCTAGTATCCAACAGGTTGAAGACGATGGAAGAGTGTTCCCCGTCAGCGATAATTCAGCTTCTGTAGTTGATTGTCTCTTGAATGAAGCAAATATTAGGGGAGGTATTATATCACATCTCTTGAATTATCCATTCTTCTTTATTGTTGTGTTCTCTTCATTCATATATCCACTCAAATTTCTTGAACCAGTTAGGGTTGAGAAAGGAAAGTCTGTGTTAACTGCTTCTACTAAACCCGATGGAAAGTTCCATATTAAAGTTGGGAAGCGAAGTGCTGACACGTTTGAATCTATCGAAGCTTCATATCTTCTTATTGCTACTGGAAGTAGCCAACAGGTAACAATGTCACATTTAAAGTACATGAAATCTTTCTCTTAAAGCCAGTTCATAATAATGGTTCTCATGTTTTCATAAGAATTTTTTTAATTATGTTACAGGGTCATGCTTTAGCCACCCAATTTGGTCATTCTATCGTCGATCCCAGTACCGAGTTTATTCACCTTTAAGATCAGTGATCCGTTGTTGGCTGAGTTAGCAGGGGTAATTTTCATCTATTACTAAAATTGCCTAGAACGATAAAGTGTTATGAGCTTCATATTTGACAGTGTTTCTTCTCTTGCTCAGATGAGTTTCTGTTTCTTTCCCTTACTCAGATTAGTTTCTCCAAAGTCCAAGCCAAATTGAAATTAGAAACTTCACGCCCGGATTTATCAAACCTTGTGCAGGTGTGCATCTCTCTTCCCTCTAATTTTTTAAAACATTCTTTACCATGAGGAACATTTCAAAGTTGCTTGTTTTCTTTCAAGATTGGTCCAATGCTTGTGACACATTGGGGACTTAGTGGACCGGTTATTCTCCGGCTATCTGCATGGGGTGCACGCCATCTCTTCACTTCAGAGTACAAAGGTTCGAATCTTCCATCTTCAAAGAGATAATTTTTGCTCCTGTTAACTCAATGAAGTTAAATTCCACTAAAGGTTGATATGTTTTGGTTTCAGGGCTTCTTATTGTTGACTTCATACCGGATATTAACATCGAAACTGCAAAATCTATACTCAAACAACACAAGCTGCAGTTTTCAGTAACAACATTTCATACTTTCACTCTTTTGTTCTCTTTGTTTTTTGTCTTTGCTTTTAAAAGTTTTGAGCATTGTTTAATGCAGAAGCATAAGGTAGCCAATACTTTTCCTCCTCAATTCGGTCTTGTCAATAGATTCTGGAGATACATTCTAGATCGCGAGGTTCTTACTAAACCTACTAGAACCTTCTTTCACAGCTTTTTCATGTTTTAAAACCTTTTAATCTTATGTGAATGTCTTTGATGTCTTCATGATTTACCAGGGTTCTTCAAGAGACACCTTGTGGGCTTCATTGTCAAACAACTCCTTGAGCTCTATTTCCGATCTTCTCAAACATTGTACATTTCAAGTCACTGGAAAGGTATAACATGAAACATGAAACTTTTATCAGGTTTTATCTTACTACTCAAGATGATAATGACGATGACATTTTGTTTTGTTATGTTGCTGCAAAAGGGTCAATACAAAGATGAGTTTGTGACAGCAGGAGGAGTTCCTTTATCCGAGGTTTTGTATTTATTTTCTTAATAAACTTAAATCGATCCGTTTTTTGCGGTTCTTAATAGATCTGATTTTACATGTCTCTTGCTACTTCAAGATTTCTTTGAAGACAATGGAGAGCAAATTGGTTCCCAATCTTTTCTTTGCTGGAGAGGTAAACATTGCTACAATGTTTAAAACATGTACATACCAATGCATCAGATATTTTCTTACATTTGTGACTTTAGGTACTAAATGTAGATGGAGTTACAGGAGGCTTCAATTTCCAGGTGAACATACACAAATGAAAATAATGAGTTTTAAGTGCAAGACGCAATCAAAATGTTATAAATGGTATATTGATTCAAGGAAGTATTGTTTTATGTAGAATGCTTGGTCAGGTGGATATATCGCAGGCACCCACATCGGCAAATTAGCAAGTAATAGAAGTTCTACAGAAACAAAGGTAATAGGATTGTTATAGTTTTCTTAAAAGACAAGCTTTGTAATATATCACTTTTCTATGATTTATGTAGGAACATTATTTTGTTTTCTCAAAGTAATTTAACATATTTCATTGTTGTGTTCATGGGTCTTCATTGTTAAAATAAAGTCTCTCCTGCCTTTTCGAGTTTGCATTAAAAGTATATGGTGAAAATTTTAAATCCATTAATTGACAGAGAGTAATAAGAATTAAAAACTTTTCTAATTGGTAGATAGATACTTTTTCAAAGGAAGTGGAGTCAACTATTTGAAATTTCAAAGTCTTTATCTGAGAGACTTTAACAATCAACTTAGCTTTTATTCAGCGCCTTCAATACGCTTACACATCACAATCACTGACAATGAAATGTCCAGATTTTAGTCTCTTATTAATCTCTCTTCTTGGATCTATTAAACAATACAGAGCGAGTGGCAACAGACAAAGAGCTCTCAGAAACATGCAGAAACCATTTCTTCTCTCTTGCTTCCTCTTCTTTTTCTTCTTCATTCCACAACTATCTTTCTCTTGCCCACCAGACCAAAGACAATCCCTTCTAGAGTTCAAGAACTTGCTGACTCAAAGCATCAAGAACGACTCCAAAGATGCAAACATAAATTTGGAACTAGAGACATGGAGGCCAAACTCAGATTGCTGCAAATGGAATCGCGTGGGATGCGATGCTCGGTCGCTTTCGGGAGAGGTGATAGAGCTGAAACTGTATCATCTTGTCCAATATGGCTCAGTAAGTTCAAGCGTTTTGAGACCGGTTCTGCGTATAAGCTCTCTTGAAACGCTTGATGTCTCACGTAATTCCATAAAAGGAGATATTCCTGGAGATGCTTTTGTGAACATGACCAGGATTATCTCTCTTGACATGAGTGATAATAACTTCAGTGGCTCTATCCCACCTGAATTGTTCTCCTTGAAGACTCTCCAGCGCCTTGACTTAAGCATGAATGGTATTGGTGGTAAGCTGAGTGGTGACATCAAAAAGCTCAAGAATCTGCAAGAACTTGGCTTAGGCTGGAATCTCATTGGAGGAGAGATTCCTCCAGAAATAGGTAAATAAGAAAATCAATCTCAAATTTTAAACTCATGTATGAAGATCATAGCAGTTGTATACATGTTACTGACTTTATACTGTTTTGTCTGTTTGTTTTACAAGGTAGTCTTACTGAACTGCGGATCCTGTCATTGAAGCAGAACAAGTTCTCTGGTTCTATACCGTCCCTAATACATTTGACGAAGCTCTCAACGGTTGATCTTGAGGAAAATTCCATGTCCTTTGAGATTCCCACATGGCTGTTTGGTCTTGAGAAGCTGGAGAATTTGCGGCTAGGAGGAAACAAACTCCAATGGAACAAGAATGGCTCTGTCTTTGCGCAATTTCAGTTAACATATCTGTCACTTAAATCTTGTGGCTTAGAAGGGAATATTCCGGATTGGCTCAAGAATCAAACAGCTCTTCGTTTCCTGGATTTGAGAATGAACAGGCTCCAAGGAAGTTTCCCCATATGGTTGGCTCATCTTAAAATCTATAACATACTTTTGTCAGACAATAGACTCTCAGGTTCACTGCCTCCGAGTTTGTTTCAGTCTCAGAACTTATATCTTCTTGCGCTATCAAGAAACAACTTCTCTGGTCAGATACCTGATACGATAGGCGAATCATCGATCATAGTATTGACGTTGTCAGAAAACAACTTCTCAGGATCAGTACCAAAGTCTATTTCAAAGATCTACGGGCTGCGGTTGCTGGACTTGTCAAAGAACAGATTTTCAGGTGAATTCCCAAGATTCTATGTGGATTATCGTGTGGAGTCATTTCTTATGTTTCTTGATATATCTTCCAACGAGTTCACTGGGGATGTTCCAACTTCCTTTGGGTTACACATCATGATGCTTTCAATGAGTCAGAACAATTTCAGTGGTGAATTCCCTCAGAACTTGACAAATCTCCCAATTCTGAAGCATCTTGATCTTCAAGATAACAAAATCTCTGGTAAATTCCCGAGTTTCATCTCCCGAGTATTCCCATCTCTAGAGTTGCTTAGCCTGAGAAACAATTCCCTCAAAGGTTCAATCCCAGAAGACATATCAAATCTCACAAGTCTCAGGATCTTGGATCTCTCTGAGAACAATCTTGATGGGTCTCTTCCATCATCTCTTGGGAATCTCACAGGCATTATACAATCTCCTGATGAGAGCTCCTCTTCAACTTCTGGTTTGCTTCCAATCAGCTTAGGTTTGGAAATACACGATTACGCTGAAATACACGATATCATAGTGAACTGGAAGAATTCAAGGCAAGGTCTTGCCAACAGTAATCGCTACCTCTACTCTCTCTTAGATCTCTCCAAGAACAAGTTCTCCGGAGACATCCCAGCTTCTTTAGGCAATCTCAAAAACCTAAAGCTTTTAAACCTCTCACACAACAACATCTCTGGAATCATCCCACAAAGTTTTGGAGATCTTGAGAAGCTAGAGACCTTAGACCTTTCATACAACAACCTCTCTGGCCATATCCCACAAACGTTTTCCAAGCTCGGCGAGCTAACTACTTTGGGTTTGAGCCACAACAAGCTTTCAGGTAAAATCCCTGAGAGTCCTCAGCTAGACAGGTTAAACGATCCAAACATTTACACTGGCAACAACAACATCTGTGGAATGCAAATCCAAGTATCATGCTCTACACAAGCCGAGCAACCAGAGGAAGATAAAGAGGAAGATGAAGAAGAAACTATGTTTTCATGGAAAGCTACAGTCATAGGTTATCCTTGTGGATTTCTTATAGCAGTTTTGTTTATGTATGCATTTTGACTATTTCAGTGGTTCATGCAAAGAACAGAGGAATCAGGAAATGTAATCTTTGTAATTTCCTTCATGAATGTAAGATTATGAATCAGGAAATGAAATCTTTTCAAGAAATTCAATTACACAGTCCCATTCATCTGTTAGTGACGAGTTTTGATGATCATTTTAACGTTTAGGTACCACTAATTAGGAAAAGACAATGCATGTGTTTTTGTTCATGGCAATATCATTATTATAAAGCCCGTGGATGTAATTAAAGTAGATGGGTTGTTTTAAGTGACCCTCTGAAAATCAATCAGGTTTTAAGCTTATGATGAAACCTTAATATTTTGTACACGATTTGTTATTTACTAATAAAGACTTTTCTAATTTGAAGATAGTTTTTAAACGCAAGTCGGAGTCAACTATTTGAAATTTCAAAGTCTTTATATGAGGATACAGATAGAATTGAAAGACTCTAAACGTCAACTTAGCGTTTATTTAGGGTAATGCCTTCAATACGCTTACACATCACAATCACTGACAATGAACAGAAACGTTGTCCATATTTTGGTCTCTTCTTGGAATTGTAACTATAAAACAAGACATAAAGAAGAAGAACAAGTGGTAATAAGACAAAGAGCTCTAGAAAAATGCAGAAACCATGTCTTTTGTCCTGGTTCCTCTTCTTCTTCCTTCCACAATTATCTTTTTCTTGCCAACCAGACCAAAGACAATCCCTTCTCGAGTTCAAGAACTGTCTTACTCAGAGCATCAAGAACCAGTCGACAACAAAAATCAACTTGGCAGGTTTAAAGAAATGGAAGCAAAACTCAGATTGCTGCAAATGGAAACTCGTGAGATGCAACGCTCATTCGCCTTCAAGAGAGGTGATAGAGCTGAATCTGAGCTCTCTTGTCGTCTCTGGCTCAGTGAGTTCAAGCGTTTTGAGACCGATTCTGCGTATAATCTCTCTTGAAGCGCTCGATGTCTCTTCTAATTTCATACAAGGAGAGATTCCTGGAGATGGGTTTGTGAACTTGACCAGGCTTATTTCTCTTGACATGAGTGATAACGCCTTCAATGGCTCTATCCCTCCTAGTTTGTTTCAACCTCAGAACTTATCGGTTCTTGCGCTATCAAGAAACAACTTCACTGGTAAGATCCCTGACACAATAGGCGAAACGTCCGTCATAGTATTGACGTTGTCAGAAAACAACCTCTCAGGATCAGTACCAAAGTCTATTTCAAAGAACTCCAGGCTGATGTTGCTGGACTTGTCAAAGAACAGACTTTCAGGTGAATTCCCTAGATTCAACTTGAACTCAAATCTTCAGCTGCTCGATATATCTTTCAACGAGTTCTCAGGGGATGTTCCAGCTTCCTTTGGGTCATACACAAGATTTCTTAAAATGGATCATAACAATTTCAGTGGTGAATTCCCTCAGGACTTCACAACATGCCCATTGAAGCATCTTGATCTTCAAGATAACAAAATCTCTGGTAAATTCCCGAGTTTTATCTCCCGGTTATTCCCAGCTCTAGAGGTGTTTATCATGAGAAACAATTCCCTCGAAGGTTCAATCCCAGAAGACATATCAAATCTCACAGGTCTTAAGATCTTGGATCTGTCCGAGAACAATCTTGATGGACCTATCCCTTCATCTCTTGGGAATCTCAGAGCCATGAGTCAGTCTCCCATCTATGTATATTATGATTTCTATACCGGACCCGGATTCAGCGTCGAAATGGGTGAATACCTTCACATACCCGATTTCGTAGTGAACTGGAAGAATTCAAAGCAAGGCATTGCTCACAGGAATAGCCACCTCTACACTATTTTAGATCTCTCTAAGAACAGCTTTTTCGGAGAAATCCCACCTTCTTTAGGCAATCTCATAAGATTAAAGGTTTTGAACCTCTCCCACAACAACATATCTGGATTAATCCCACAAAGTTTTGGAGATCTTGAGGAGCTAGAGGTCCTAGACCTTTCATACAACAACCTCTCTGGCCATATCCCACAAACGTTTTCCAAGCTCGGAGAGCTAACTACTTTAGGTTTGAGCCACAACAAGCTTTCAGGTATAATCCCTAAAGGTCCTCAGCTAGACAGGTTAAACGATCCAAACATATACGCGGGCAACAACAACATCTGTGGAGAGCAAATCCAAGTATCATGCTTTACACAAGCCGAGCAACCTGAGGAAGATAAAGAGGAAAATGTAGAGGAAGATGAAGAGGAAACAATGTTTTCATGGAAAGCTGCAGTCATAGGTTATCCTTGTGGATTTCTTATAGCAGTTTTGTTTATGTATTTATTTTGACTACATTTGAGCGGTTCATGCAAAGAACAGAGGAATCAGGAAATGTCATATTTGTAATGTCTTTCATGAATGTAATATTATGAATATGGAATTCAAAAAGTTTAATAACATAGTCCGATTCATCTATCAATGACGAGTTTTGATGAGATTCTTAGCGTTAAGGTACCACTAATTAGGAAAAGACAAAGACAAAAGTTGTCCCTACAAAAGCAAGAGAGTGGGAGATGGCTAAGTGAGGTTGAAAAGCAATACTTCTTTGTTCTTACTTTGGCATCAATGTGAGTAAAGAATGTGTGGTCTTGATGTTTCTGTAAACAGATGTCAACGTTGATCGCTGTATATGCGAACTGGGGTGGTTTCATCCAAGAAATCGGATGGCGCTGGGCTGGTGTAATTTGGCTGTACAACTTGATCATCTACATTACACTTGATCCCTTGAAGCTCGTCATTCGTTACGCTTCGAGTGGAAAGAAGAAGAATCTCGAGAGAGAAGAGCAGCAACTTAGATGGGCACACGCCCTAAGGACCATTCACGGCCTCGATCCACCTGAAACCGGTTTCACAGAGCACAACAACTATCCAAAATATAATCTAGTGGCTGGAGATGATTATTTTAGACCGTACTAATATGTTCTATAGAAAACTTAGATACCATTTTATCACAAAGTTATCACACAAAAGGTCTTATAACCTCTTTGAAGGCAAAGAGGAAACAATAGGAATAACAAAGCCATCCCCACACAACATACCATTTATTATTGGGTTTTTACACAATATAGGTATTGTTTGAAGAAGGTGTTAAATGAATAATGATCACTATGCTCTGTGTTTGCTAACTTTCTTCTCAAGCTCATCTTTTCTGGCTCCAACGATCCTTTCGACTTCTTTACCATTTTTCACCAACACAAAAGTTGGCATTCCCGTCACGTTAAATTCTTTAGCCACATCCTGAAAAACAATCGTCATGCACTAAGTTTAATAACTTGTTTCTCAACAAAAATCCCATAAACGTTGAAACACAAGCCAATCCATCTTATACTTGAATTTTCTAGTGATCTGTACCAAAATCTAACTTCTACTCACGAATATTCGATATCAAAAACACTCAGATTTCAGGAAAAGGAAAAACAATGAAACATAGATCAATCAGAGTGATGAGTGATCTGCAAATCGCTAACTTGGATATCAAAAACAATCAGTTTCAGGGGAAAAAAGAGCAATCTATAATAGAAAGTTGAAACCTTTGAGAAGAGGCAAATGAAAGATGCAGAAAAAGAAGATAAATTGAGAATACTTACTGGGAGTTCATCGACATCCAATTTGACGAACTCAACATCAGTGAACTTTGAAGCCATGGCAATAAACGCAGGCTCAATCATTCTACAGGGTCCACACCATGAAGCCGAGAAGTCAACCACCAGCTTTTCTCTCCCAAAATTCAAAATCAAATCAGTTGATTATTCCATAAGAAAAACCCAATCGATTGCAAAACCAAAACTGAATCAGATCGAATCGAAAACACATACCAGTTTCGACGATTCCTTGATCTCGTTGAAATGAAGCTGCCACCGAGCCGAAGAGCTAAATTTCATGACGCGGCTTGACTCCGATTCACTCCCTGCAGCTACTTCTTCTCCACCACCAAACGCAGCTGATAAAACACCTCCCATTCTCTCTCTCTCTTTCTCTCTCTCTCTATTCTCTCTCTCTCTCTCTAATCTCTCTCTCTTCTCTCTCTTTCTAACGAAGTAAGCGGAGAATGATTATGCTTGAGAACGACGCTGGTTAGTCTGTCAAAACCGGATTTAATCCTCCTTTTACTAAATCTACCGAACCGATCCAATTGAAATCACGATACTCTACAAAACCGAAACTTAACCGGAATTACTTAGCCGTCTTCTTCTCCTTCTCAGGTTTAGGGTTTTAGCTTCAACTTGATTTTCAACATTTTCGATTTTCAAATCGAATGAATCTTTAGATCAGTTTCATAAACCCCATCTCCTGAAGAAATGGATCAAACACGAAGCTTTTAAGCCTGGGAATTTATCGCCTGCTGTGATGTCTCAGTCACTGGTTCGAGCAATCTCAGCTCGGAAGAATCAATTGGGTATTGCGTTCTACTATAGATGTAATCAATTTCACTCCCAATGGCAGATCATTGCTCCCAATCGATCATCTTTAGGTAAAAATTTGAGTTTTTTTGCCTTATACGAATCTAAATTGCATTGATTCCGGTCGTTTCTTCTTCTTTACATTCTCTCTCTTTCTCTCCTCAGGAAGTATGTTAACCAATTTTAGACGGGTTTCTGGTAACTTGATCCCGGAGTTGAATCACACTCGACCCACGAGTGGATTCTGCTCGGTTTCTGTCAACGGAGTGTTGGACTCGAATCTCGCTTCTGATGGAGAAACCATAGTCATCGAGGATGTTTCTAGTGAGAGCATTTCAAATGTTGGACCTTTGGATAAGAAGCCATGTGTTGTTTACAAGAAACCAATTGACTTCACCAAAATTGATGCGAAGCTACTACCCACCGTGATGATCATTGGCCGGCCAAATGTTGGAAAGTCTGCATTGTATAACCGGTACGAGTTTCTTCCTCGTGAGTTTTGGAGATGAATATGTTATTGATTGTGGATTCATTCAATTTTGTTGTTGCTGTTGTTGTTCAGATTGATTCGGAGGAGAGAGGCTTTGGTTTACAACACTCCAGATGATCATGTAACAAGGGATATAAGAGAAGGGATTGCTAAATTAGGTGACTTGAGGTTCAATGTTTTGGACTCTGCTGGTATAGAGACTGAAGTTTCTTCGGGTACTATTCTTGGTAGAACCACAACAATGACTGCTAATGTGCTTGCAAGGACTCAGTTTGCGATTCTTATCATCGACGTCAGGTAAGAGAATCTAAAATCTCAAGTTGCAATCAACTATCAGAAACTCATTTGTTGTGTTCGTGTTTTCATAGGGCGGGGTTGCATCCATTGGATTTAGAAGTTGGTAAATGGCTGAGAAAGCATGCTCCACAGATTAAGCCTATAGTAGTAATGAATAAATCGGAGTCACTTGGTGAATCTCTTGCTGAAGTTTCTTCAGAAGCCCTTGCGCTTGGGTTTGGTGAGCCTACTGCGATATCAGCTGAGACAGGACTTGGTATGAATGCACTCTATGAAGTTCTCCATCCTCTACTCGAGGATTACATGGTCGAATCGTTAAACGGTAATCAAAACCCATTTAAACCCGTGTCAAGAAGCTTTGAAAATTTCTCTCTTTACGGAATCTCACAGTCTTATATATTAGATAGATGCAGTCAAGATGATGTTCCAAGTGATGAGAATCTCTCTGACGGAACCGACGAGTCCAAGTTGCCGTTGCAGTTAGCTATTGTAGGTAGGCCAAATGTTGGGAAATCAACATTGCTCAATGCATTATTGGAAGAAGAGCGTGTGTTGGTGGGTCCAGAAGCTGGTCTCACTAGAGATGCTGTGAGAGTTCAGTTCCAGTTTCAGGGTAGGACTGTTTATCTGGTATGCACAGAGTTCTGATTCTCTTACACTCTCTTAATAAACAGATAAAAGCGGGACATGCTCTCAAACTAATTCACTTTGGTTATTTTGTTAAGGTTGATACTGCTGGGTGGTTGGAGAGAACAGAACGAGACAAAGGACCAGCATCTTTAAGTATCATGCAATCAAGAAAGAGTCTGATGCGAGCACATGTTATTGCTTTAGTTCTCGATGCTGAAGAGGTTTGTCATATTCACACATACTTTTTTGCACAATTGTGAAAAATAAGGGAGGAAGAAACTCAATAGATGCTTACCGTATTGTTTTGTATTTGCAATCTCTAGATCATAAAAGGTCAACGCAGTATGACACATTCAGAAGTAGTTATCGCTAGACGCGCTGTAGAAGAAGGACGTGGTCTGGTCGTGATCGTTAACAAAATGGATTGTTTAAGAGGGAAACAAAACGCTGAGATGTACAAGAAAATCAAAGAAGCTGTCCCGATTGAAGTTCAGACAGTTATTCCTCAGGTAATCTGGATCTGTCTTAGTTGTATCTTTTGTTAATTCTTGTTCCTTCTTTTGTCATTAAATGGTTTCTTCAAATGATGAGAGACATACGATTTTGTTGTAGATAACGGGAATACCGGTTGTGTTTATCTCCGCATTAGAGGGAAGAGGACGTTTACAAGTAATGAACCAAGTCATTGACACGTACAAGAGATGGTGTTCAAGACTTTCCACAGGGCGTCTCAATCGCTGGTTGCGCAAGGTCTGTAGTATTTAAAGATTTAAACTATAAAATGTAGAAAAAAATGTAACATCTTCACTTGCCTAAGCATTTGTTATGTGTGTTGAGTTAAGGTTATGAGCCGGCACTCTTGGAAAGACTCGGCTTCGCAGTCAAAGATCAAGTTTTTCACTCAGGTGAAAGCTCGACCTCCAACTTTCGTGGCATTTGTCAGCGGCAGAACGCAGTTACTGGATAGCGACATAAGGTTCTTGACTAAATCGTTGAAAGACGACTTTGATTTAGGCGGGACTCCTATTAGAATCATACAGCGAGTTGTTCCTCGGACACCATCCTCTGGTTCAAGCGGTGGAACCGAAAAAAGCTCTGGTGGTCGAGTAGTGAAAAGAAGCAGCTCAGATAAACGGAAAGTTTCGGTCTAAGAACGCATTACAACTTGAAGAAGACAATTCCTACATTAACTTAAGTTTTGTTTTTCATTTTGGTGTTGTGTAGTTCTGATGTTACCCTGTTTCGTTCGATTCTTACTTATATGTCTTATTCCTCAAACCACATTCGTTTAATATTAGAATTTGTTGTCCTGCAAAGTGTATTCTTTGAACTTCTAAACTGGGATTAATTATATGGTGGTTAAAATTAAGGGTTTCGTTTATGGTTTGATGTATTGTCTATGGATTTAGTGAACACACAAGCTGAATTCTTTTATCTAGTTCATAATCATATCTTAACAAAGAGAAGAAAATCTTTGACGCTGTCAAGAATAAACCACACAAGTGCAATGAGATAAATCCTATTATCAAAGATGCCACGGACTATGATTTCTTTATACTTATTTCTTTTCGAATCTCGAGGACTAAGTAAAGAAACTATGTGTTGTGATAATGGCCAAGAAAATATATCTTATTTTTTGATGTAGGAAGTGAAATCAACATTCATTGGATTTATGTAACACCAATAATAAGATACCACCACTAAAATTTAAAAATTAGCAACTATCTCGAAAGTTGCACCAAAAAAAAGCATTTATCATCAGCTCAGACCATATATATTAACTTGCGATAATTGGAATATAAGCAAGAGTGACATAACGGTTTTATATACCGATCCATAACGCGATATATGCACGTGACATATCTATCACATGCAACGTATTATTATTTAGTCATATGATAAAAAACAAAAAAACTTTGGAAAACAGAAAGTTAAATTTTAGCAACCGCATTGCTGCGACATCATCAAAAGTTCCGAACCCGTCTTGATACCGTAGCTGGCTAGGGTGCGTCCGCTTAGGAGCGTGATGCCTTCAAAGATCAGTACCTGCTGGTTCACTGATGGGCCCCCAAGACCACGGATCTTGTTCTTGACGATTTTAGTAGTGTCGGTCTCCTTAACCTCTAGGTTTAATGTTTTCCCTCCAAGAGTCGATACAGAAATCCTCATGACTGGCTCTGAATCCAAATCCATATCCGGTTCTGGACCTAGACGAAGAACCAATTTACGGGTAGGTCCATGGATCTTGAGGTGGATGGTGTCGGAGCTATCATCAACCTCTAGGTTTATGCTCTTTCCATTCACCTTTGTTATAGAAATCTCCATTGCACCACTCGAGTATGGAGAAAGGGTTTTTCTTATTATTGAGTGAAGAGAATTCAAAAGTATTTATATAGTTACAAAGTGTTAGTGTGGAACCATTATCTTCCTTTGACTGCCTCTTCGTCTCTCTCAAATGTCTTTAATGTTCTTCTTGTATTCCTCTATTTTTTGACTTGTGTCTTTGGTTTTCGATATGATGCATATACAAATATCTTAAAATACTAAGAAAAGCCCATACAGGCTGAATTATATTAGAATTTGTTGTCCTGCAGCAAAGTGTATTATTTGAACTTCTAAACTGGGATTATATGGTGGCTAGGGATATGGAAATTAGATATAAGGGTTTCGCTTATGGTTTAATATATTGTCTATAGATTTCGTGAACATACAAGCTGAATTCTTTTTTCTAGTTCTTTTTTTTTTGGAACTTTTATCTAGTTCATGATCTTAACAAAGAGAAGAAAAATCTTTGACGCTGTCAAGAATAAACCACACAGGTGCAATTAGATAAAATGCTATTATCAAAGATGATTTTTTATACATATTTTATTTTTGAATTTTGGCGACAAAGGACATTAACTGTGAATTTGGGCGAGGTGCTTAGTTAATTTTGATATAGTCAGGGATTATGGAAAGAAACTCCCTATGTGTTGTGATAATGGCCAAGAAAATATATCTTATTCTTTTGATGTACGAAATGAACCCAACATACATTGGATTTGTGTACCGATAATAAGATATCAGAGAATTAATAGGGGTTCATGGCACAATTTTTGAGATAAAATAGCTTAATCTTGAAGAGACAGTATTATACCGACGAACATGAAGAGACGGTATCATTCTGAAATGGAGCATTCTGATTGGTCAAAAATTATAATTTTCGAATTAAATAAAAAAGAAAAACTAAAAAAAAAAATATTATTATATTCTGGTGAACCCCTCTCTTAGGGGTTCACTGATGTACATGCTCTCACCACTTAGGCCCTGTTCGGTTTTTTATCTAGATGATGCATCTAGATTTTACATAGATCAGCATCTAGATACAACATCTAGATATTATTTGTTTTGGAAACTAGGTTTTGCATCAAGATGTTATGTGTAGATACTAAATTGTTTGTTTGTAAATTTAAAAAAATAGTTGGATGCAAAATATATTAAATGACTAAAAAAGACATACTTTTGAATTATTATTTTTTAATAAATAATATTTTTATCAAATTAAGTTTAAAAAATACATGAATTTTTTTTTTTGCATTTTTTGTGGGAAAACATGATTTGTATATTTGACGAGAAAATTTTTTACTAGAATTTTGAGTTTTTGATGGAAAATCAAGATATTGTGTTTTTGGCGGGAAATCAAGATTTTGCGTTTTCGGCAAGAAACCGAGAGTTTTCGTTTTCAGCGAGAAACTGAGATTTTTCGTTTTTGGCGAGAAATCAAGATTTTGCGTTTTTGGTGAGAAACCGAGAGTTTTCGTTTTTGGCGGAAAATCGAGATTTTGTGTTTTTGGCGAGAAACCTAGATTTTTTTTTGGTGGGAAATCGAGATTTTGTGTTTTTGGCGGGAAACCAAGATTTTGCGTTTTCAGAGGGAAACCGAGAATTTTTCGTTTTTGGCGGAAAATCGAGATTTTGCGTTTTTGGCGAGAAATCGAGATTCTGCGTTTTCGGCGACAAATCGAGATTTTGTGTTTTTGGCGAAAAACAGAAATTTTTTGTTTTTGGCGGGAAACCAAGATTTTTCGTTTTTGGCGAGAAATCGAGAGTTTTTGTTTTTGGCGGGAAATCAAGGTTTTGCGTTTTTGGCGAGAAACCTAGATTTTTCGTTTTTCATGGGAAATCGAGATTTTGTATTTTTAGCGGGAAATCGAGATTTTGCGTTTTCGGCGAGAAATCGAGAGTTTTTCGTTTTTGGCAGAAAATCGAGATTTTGCGTTTTTGGCAAAAAACCGATATTTTTTGTTTTTGGCTGGAAACAGAGAGTTTTTGTTTTTGGCGAGAAACCAAGAATTAACGTTTTGGCGGAAAATCAAAATTTTTTCGTTTTTCTGCGAAAAATCGAGATTTTTTGTTTTAGTGGAAAATCAAAATTTTGTGATGTTTGTGGAAATCGAAATTTTGTGATGTTTGTAGAAATCGAGATTTTTATTTTAGTAAGGACATTAATGTCTTTTATATAATCTAGAATATCTAGATTTTTGAGATGCTAATCAATTTACATTCAGATGTTGATCTGAACGCAATTTTTTTTGTGAAAAAAACGAACAACATTTGGACATTTGCAACTAGATGCAGCATCCAGATACAGAAACGAACAGAGCAGTTCTCGGTTTAACTTCTACATATGACCCAAAGGTCCCAAACATCAGTTCTATGCAAAATAAGAGTGAAGTAATTATAGCTATGTCTACTTTTCTATGCTAAAATTTGAAAATTAGCAACTATCTCGAAAGTTGCACCAAAAAAAAACTTACCAGGAAAAGTTTACCGACTTATCATCAGCTCAGACCAAATATATTAACTGGTGATAATTGGAATATTAAGCAAGATTGACATAGCGGTTTTATATACCGATCCATAACACGATGCACGTGACATATCTATCACATGCAACATATTATTATTTAGTCATATGAAAAAACGAAAAACTTTGGAAAACAGAATGTTAAATTTTAGCAACCGCACAGCTGCGACATCATCAAAAGGTCCGAACCCGACTTGATACCGTAGCTGGCTAGGGTGCGTCTGCTTAGGAGCTTGATGCCTTTAAAGATCAGTATCTGCTGGTCCACTGGTGGGCCATCAAGACCACGGATCTTGTTCTTGACGATTTCAGTATTGTCGGTCTCCTCAACATTTAGGTCGAATGTTTTCCCCCCAAGAGTCGACACAAATATCCTCATGGTTGGCCCTGGTTCCGAATCCGAATCCGAATCCAGTTTTGGACCTAGACGAAGAACCAATTTACAGGTAAGTCCATGGATCTTGAGGTTGATAGTGTCGGAGCTATCATCAAGCTCTAGGTTTATGCTCTTTCCATTCACCTTCGTTATAGAAATCTCCATTGCACCACTCGAGTATGGAGAAAGGTTTTTTTTGCTTATTATTGAATGAAAAGAATTCAAGAGTATTTATATAGTTACAAAGGAACCCTATAAGAAAATATCTACAATAACAAGATATATATACAAAGATATGGTAATATCCTAAAATCTAGTTCTCCTTTTTTTTTCACCGACTCTTTGGGTTTTCCTTTAATAACCAATCCATCCATGTTTTGATAAACGAATGGATTTTATATATTGTAGGATATAGTCAAGTGTCTCTATCTATTATGGTATTTGCGAAGTGATTTGAACTGTGGTTCAATGCACATCTTGTCGTTTTGATTAATGAAATCTTTATGTTCTGATTGGTCAATTGATGTTATATTTTGATTGGTTAATATAAATTAATTATTATTATTTTTTCTGTCGTTTTGGTAGAAGATGTTAAATTACACTTATGCCATTAATGAAAATACTCTATTCTGATTGGTCAGTTGATTATTCTGCAATTAAAAAGAAAATCTGATAAAAAAAGGAAATATTTCGTAATTAATACACAACAAAATATAAAGTAAGGTCCACAGAAAATATATGGCATAATACCATTTTTTTGTCGACAATAAAAATATATATTTAACTGCTGATTGGTTAACAAAAAATAAGGAAACACATAAACCCGGAATCGTTTTCTATATAAATAAATATTTTCTGCCTCCACTTATATTTATTTACTATTTTTTTTACGTTTTGTTATAGGTTTTGGCGATTGGTTACTCTACGTGGAAATACATAAACATTATACATGCCTTCCAATATATCGTTTACACTGAATGATATGGTAGCTGTGTTGGTTAGGTTCTTTGTCCGTTCAGCGAAAGCTCACGGGTTCGAGTCATGGAGTTAGATTTTTAAAAATTTTTAGATTTTTGTTACAATTCAAAGTTTGGAAATAATTTTTATTTGCTAAATATTTTGCAAAGGAAAATATGTCATAATTTCCTTTGTTATTATCTAGAATGGAATTTTTACATTTTTTTATAGTTAATAACTATAAAATTCATGGGAAGATAATATCGTATATAGAACAAGAATTACCTAGTATTTTTCATAAAAAAATAAACCCTAGGTTGTTTACACGTATAAATATGAGTGTTTTAAATATTTTGCAAACGGAAATATGTCATAATTTCCTTTGTTATTATCTAGAATGGAATCTTTACACTTTTATAGTTAATAACTATAAAATTCATGGGAAGATAATATCATATATAGAACAAGAATTACCTTTTAGTATTTTTCATAAAAAAATAAACCCTAGGTGGTTTATGGTTTACACATATAAATATGAGTGTTTTAAAACAATCGTCTCATAATTTACAGTTTAGTTTCTCTGTTAGAGTTCCGTGTTTATTTTGCTAGGGTTTTTATAATAGCATTAACTTTTTGGATCTCTTTAGAAAAGATTCATCATGTTTGTCTATTTGCATGCAAACCTAACCATGTATTCGTCTAAGTACAGCTTTGATCATCCATCAAAAGTCATGATTACTTGGGAAGTTTCGTCTACTGCTTGGGGTATATATCTAGCTCTCCTCAAATTAATAATAATATATATGCTCTCTACGTTTTTAATGATTCTAAAATTTTTTTCGTCCATAGGTTTTGATAACCAGACTTATGCTCGCGAGTTAAGATTTGTGTTGAATTCATATCGCCAGGATATGGATCAAAAAGAGATATCAGATTATCGTTACGTAACTCCATACGTTTTCGTCGATATCACAAAAAAGGTTGTTGTGCCTTTTTAGGTTATTCTTGCAAGTTATAATACTTATTAGTAATTATTTTGTATTTTTAGGTTATCCATGCAAGTTACTTATGGATCTTGCTATCGACGAGTGGACCTTGCGGACATATAATCCTGTAATCGAAGGTTCGTAGTACTGTATATTAATCTTACAATTTTGTACCTTTCGTAGTGCTGTATCTTAATCTTACAATTTCGTATCTTTACTATATATTAATCTACGAACGTATTCATTTTTTATATAGATCTTGATTCTGCGTATTATATATTTATTCTTGATTAGAAGTTTTTGATCAAATGAGGTATTTCTGCTCTTCCTGTAATATAATTTTGTTAATGATGTATATTAAATTTTTTATATGTGTTTATGTTTGTTCTGATGTTCGTTTTGTGCATTTAGGTTCTGATCATGTTAATTCGAGCGATCATGCTCACAAGACCTTTCTTTGGGATTTTGCGAGGAAGGCTTGGATTATAAATAAAGAATCTAATGGTTTCAATGGTTCATTTTTTGCTTTGAGTACCATTTTTTCCCTTTTTTAATATTTATTTTTAAATTCTAACTACGTTGTTTTTTCATATGTTTATCTATGCAGAAGATAATGAGTCTGATGATACCGAGGTGCTATCTGGCCATGGTACTGATGATGATTATGGTTTTGAGGATTACATGGGGTCTGATGCCGAGTCGCACGATGATACCAATGATATGGACCAAACAGATGAATACGATTCTGAAGATGATTTTACTGACGACGGTGAGTCTTATGAAGGATCTGATGGTTCAAGTGATAACTCGGAAGGTGATAGTGGTGATGATGAAGATGAAGATGATGACGATGCTGATTTGACTGATGATGATGAGGATGATGATGAAGATGTTATGTTGTGATGATGAGACTGAGAGTGACGATGATAGTGAGGATCACCAAAACGTCAAACCGAATAATATACTCATCGAAAAGAATATTAGTATATCGGGACACCAGAATTCGGTGTGTACTTATACAGTTTCTCTTGGTTCAATGTGTTTTGGAGGGTGTGTGTCCCGTTGGAGACCTTCCAAAGATGGTTGTACTATCTTTGTTAAGGTTTTACAGACGTGGGTGCATATGCTAATTTTGAAATGTTCTTCCCTGTAGCTCATATTATTGGATGAACAGGTATTTATTATATTATGAGAAAAAATATTATAAAATTGTGTTGATTTCTAATTAACTGTTTTATTCACAGGGTGTTAAAATTCAGGTCACTGTTAGAGATGGTGAGATCGATGTCGCAGCGTCTCGCATAGATGTTGGTAGTTGGATTATTATCAGTCGTTTTTCTGTTATCGAGTGTGAGGATAGTTGTAGACTGATTTTTCATAGATACAAAATATTGTTCCTACCATCAACTATCATTGACAAGACTTCACGTGGAGTGAAAACGTTTATTTTGACTTCGTTGATTTTCAAAGGATATTGGATCGTGCCCATGATGATGACTTTTTAGTTGGTGTGTTTATTTTCGGTTTAGATATTGAATTTTGTTATTATTATGTTGCTGATGTTAATATGGTTTAGTTTTTATTGTTTATGAAGAATTGATAGATCGGGTCTTAAATGTAAGTCGATCTGCACGTGGTGTGGTTTACTCTCTGGAGAGCATCATGTTCCTTCCTATGGCAGTCCATGTAAGGATGTATATGATTCCGAAAAATAGGGTGCATATTCAACTGTAACATTCTGTCTGAGGGATAAACAGTATTGTCTGCTAAGTGTTTTTAAATTGTATATTATCGTTTTATTTGTTATGTCTAGCTGATTATGTGTGCTGTGTTTTAATTTAGTAGTGTTAATTTGAGTTGTGAATTATCCGGTGAGATGGCTAAAAGCTTTTATGCATCTTGGAGACGCTGTGATCAGGATGGAACGATTTTATCATCAATTCGATTTAAGATAATAGATGACGAGTAAGTATATCTCAAACTATATGTTGGAAGTCTAACTAACTAATTCTTAACTACATTGTTTGTCAAAATATAGGAAATTTATACTTGAGTGTGTTGCACACGGTGAGTTGGCAACTGAAATAAGAGATAAGTGTAGAGAATACGAAGATCCCTTTGCTATATGTGTGTTAACCGATTGGTGTGTAGCGATTGACGGGGGTATGTTTTCTGATAATATATCAATATGTTATTTATAAAATCGTATTATATAATGTAACAATATTCTTAATATATATATATATATATATATATATATATATATATTAGAGAATGTGTCTATCAAGGATCATGATGATGATGGTGTGTCCCGTTTTATCACTGATTCACCGATTGCTGAAATTTAAACCTTTATGCATCTTAGAGACGCTGTGAGATGATGGAACGACTTCATCATCAATTCGATTTAAGATAATAGATGACGAGTAAGTATATTTAAAATTATATGTTTGAAGTCTAACTAACTAATTCTTAACTACATTGTTTGTCAAAATATAAGAAATTTATGCTTGAGTGTGTTGCACACGGTGAGTTGGCAACTGAAATAAGAGATAAGTGTAGAGAATATGAAGGTCCCTTTGCTATATGTGTGTTAACCGATTGATGTGTAGCAATTGACGGGGGTATGTTTGTTTTCTGATGATATATCAATATGTTATTTATAAAATCGTAGTATATAATGTAACAAAATTCTAATATATGTGTCTATCAAGGATCATGATGATGATGGTTGTTCCTGTTTTATCACTGATTCACCGATTGCTGAAATTTTAACCTTGCGCAATAGGTAAGTATGTTTATCTGTGTTGTCTAAATTGATTAATAAAGAAAAAAAACAATATTTAGATCTGTCTAAATTGCGTAACAGTAATTTGCCAACTTTATGTATATCTGTTTTTTGTTATTAAAATTTCAGGATTAGGGAGAGATTAGATGGGTTGGATACAGATGGTTCTAATGGATTGGACCAAGTATAAGGATTCAAAATTGATAATCCAGATGCATTATTAGTTTTGTTAGACACATTTTTTGGTATTTACAAGTCTGTTTTGCAATTATTAATAAATAATAATTTATTCCAATTTGGGTTTAAATTACTAATCCTTCTCCCCAACCGTTTCTTTGACTTTTTCAAAACATTATCCCCATGGCTACATATAATTTTGTTGATGAGTTACATGCATCGAGACGAGATTAGAAAATACGTGTCAAAGTTTTGAT